GTTGCCAAGACAGGAACATGTACACTCTTGTAGAACAACATTAGAATTTGCATTGAACACACTCAATGGACTGTATTATTCTTGATTTGAAGCTTTCGTGATTGCAGGAATCCATACTCTTTGGTTCTTTCGGTAAAGTCACGTAGGTATAAGACTCTTTCTTTAGAACTAAACAATTCCTGAATTGGGACTATCTGTCAGTGGATCGCGATGATGTACACTTAAACAATTCCTTATTTTTTTAGGCATATCTCAACGTTTTGACCAGTAAGCCAAAACGTTGAGATAATCCTGCTCTCTCAATGGTAATAAAAACCTATCTAGCGTGTTGTATTTTTTTGTATACGTTTTTCGAAACAGCCACCGTTTCGACTTACACGGTGAAAATGTTGCGGATGTAGAACCCTACGTTTACAATATTACCCATTTTCTCTTTTTAAAGCACTCATTGTATACTGACCGTCTTCAATGCAGCATCGAGTTATTTTTTTATTAAACTCGCATTTTTAGCCGTGGCCTGCGACAGGTTTACACACAGCCACCGCAGCTGCAAGAGTTACGTTACGTATTGGCACAGCAAGTGCGTTCTGGATAAGACAAGACTTCTTCATACAGCACAAGCCATACAGCGTCATCACATCACTTGCCAGCATCCTTCCGCAACTTCAAACCACACACACAACACTCCTCCCCCCTCCCCGCATTGAACTCAACCGTCGGAGCATCAGAGCCCTCCCATCACAGCATCAGAGCCCTCCCATCCGTCCCATCGAACGATGGGGGGGAGGAGCTTTGATTCTGACCTCCAGTAACACCGCACAGCCCGAGGGAGGAAGGTCGGTCGGTGACTCACGCAAGCCAGTGAAGTGGTGTGTGAGAGAAGGCAAGGAGGAGTCAATGTAGCAGTTGTATTCTTTATTTGCACCAGGAGATTAAATGAACATCCATTGCGACGCATGCACCAGCCCTGTTTCTTTTGCACGAGGGGGCACTTGCGTGGGCTCTGGGATGTCGTGATACAATAATGCACACTCTTGTGATTTGTGCAACAAAAAATCCGAGACGTTTCGTCAGCAGGGTAGACTGGTAATTTCAATAAACAGTTTATATAGTTACATTTAATTGACATCATATAATACGGCAATAGCAATAATTGTACGGACATTTGTCAATCGACTGCTGGACGAAGGCCTGCACCCACACCAATATAAATGTTTTATTTGTTTCAAAGTACACATCCAATCTACAAATTAGGAACCGCATAGGTTGACAGATAAATACCGTATTTTAAACAGAAACGCATACATTACGTTTCAAACCATCAACCTATTTTGGTACATGTTTTTAACCAGGGTGGTGTTTCATGTATGTCTATTGGCTAAAAACCATTGAATTAACGCATGTTGGCTTCACGTGGTCTCTTGAAATTCCTCTTTTGCGACAACATATACAGCGTATACATTTCATAATATACTGTATAATAGTGACAATGGTTTCAAAATAATAATAACCACCACTGATAATGTGTATATACATTTTTAATTGAACTTATATACTTCATGTATGAATTGCATTCTGGGAATTGTCTTTTGGAACAGGAAATGAACACATTAAGGGGGATAAATGAAAATCACATGACATTAATTGTTACGAAAAGTAAGGTGGCTTGGTTGAGGATGGTGGCCAGAAGTCAAGACTTGTGACGGAATGGGAGCCAAAGGACAAAATACGTTTGAAAGGACAAATCCACCGTGCAAACATCGATATCAGTTTGTATGCAAGGGTATGGTGGAATTGTGGCATCATGGGACCATGAGGGAATGGCAATGGCGTGGGAAGGCCTTCATCCAGTCGTGGATAGAGTATAGCTCATGATAATATATACAAAATAAATGTTAGGTTTATTTACCCAGTAAATTATTGCCTTATTTCCAGTGTGTGTAGGTCCGAGAAAATATCAAGCTTATATGTTGCACAATACGATATGAACCTTAACCAAATTAAGATAATAGCTGAGATGCGTTTGTTTATGCTTGTGAACATTGGGTCCAGTACACGCACGTACACGTGGCACATTCTGTTTAAAACATAGCCCCGAGATTAATGTTTATGGTTCGCTTTGAACCCAAGTCGAGTGAGTTTCCCAATGTGGACCTAAATGATTGCCCTCCAAATAGAGAAATGTAGGTGAAAGGCCGGGACCTATAGCACACAATTTAAAATAAATATCATTTAAGTTTGGGAAAAATATATATATCTACCCTGAGATCTCATGACTTAATATTTGCTCAATCAGCAGCTGACAGACTAAAGTCAAATACTGCCTTTGATACACAGAGTACTGTTTTATTATTGCCATTTGTCCATCCACTTTTGGATGAAGGCCTCCCATGTCACTCATTGGATCGGGTCATCTGGGAATGTTTGACCATACTTCGCCATGATGGTCAGTGTGGGTTGATGAAGAAGAGAGGCCCAGGTCTAGGGTTGCCAGGGTTCAAAGCAAAGTGTGCCAACGACTGCGCCACCACCCCATATGTTATGTTTCGCTACTTTAAATCAATGGAGTGTTAATTCATGCAAGATCTTACTCAGCAGCAGCATTCTCAGTGATAATACGTAACACTTTATAGTCCAGCACAATCACTGCTCTTGTTCAGAGACTAAAAAACACTTTTACACATTTGGCAGTTTTTCTCGCAAACGTAGTGAATGAACAGAGAGCTTCGTTTGTTTCCCTTTGTGACATTGTTGCAATTCAAGATAATTGTTTGGTGACTAAAGTATAAATTAAGTTAGAATAATCGATCTGTCATTCACATACATTCTTTAAGATACTGGTCATGTAGAGTTGCGCTGAGTTGAATTAATAATTGAATTTAATATTAATGCTGGATTTGTGAGTTACTTGTTTTTTTGTAGGTTATCTTTCTTTGAAAATTCCAGTTTTAAATACTGGACTGCCGACTTTCCAGATGATGATACGACAAGCCTTTCGAGTATATCCCAAATACTTGGTCCATCTAGTGCTTTTCGAGTTTTCACTATGATTATTTCTAATTTAGCACTATGTCCAAATGAGAAAGATAACGCATCCGGCTCACTCACCCACGTGGTGAGATGTTCACTACCTCGCCAGGTATACATGAGGGCGTGAGTTTAATCCCGACCCTGACAACTGCTGTATATCTTGAGTTTGCATGTCTCGCTGTGGACGCGCGGATTTGTCTGGGTCCTCCGGGTTTCCCCTCCACATTTAGAATCAACGTGCGTTTAGAGCATTTGGCTGCTATAAATTTCCACGTGACAAACCACTTCATTGAGCAATCATTTGTGGCCAGATTGCATCTGAAAAAGAGCTACATAGCTCAATGGGCCTTACCTGCTAAAATAAAAATAATTAAATAGTTTGGCCTGCAAGGAACAGAGAGGCCCTCATTCAGCAGTGGATTGGCAAAAAACGGACTATTCATGTAGATTATACGTTGATTGACGACACAGCTAAAATATCAACCTGCCGTTCACCACTAAATGCTGGCGACGTCACCACGGCGCTTGTGCCAGGCTAGGTGCACTTCGAGTTCATCCAGCGTGCCCCAGCAGGGCACCCAATCTTTTTGAAGGTGACAGCCGTTACCGTTTGACAGATGACAAATAGATGCGCGCATACTCGCCATCTGAATAATTGTCAGGCCGTTTGTCCGTTTACATTGTACGGATAATCGAATCAATTCATAAGGTTAGCTTGGACCGAACTTTACACCTTGCATTAGACTGCCCCCTGTCGCCACAGGCAACAAAGAGGGGCCGGTTCCATCATCTCGAGTGAAATTGCTAAATATACTACCCCCCCCCCCTCCAACCAATAGTTGATGGTTTTTGGTGACAACATTTAAGCATTCTGTGTATTTCAGATAGGACCTTTGGCAGTCTGACGCCATAGGAACGTGGAATTTCCACCGCTGGTTTAATCGAGGTCACTCATGTACATGGACCCTATTTCCACGCGTTGCTTTAGACTTTAGAGAGACCGATTTCACTTTTGTTGTTGACAGTTTTCCGTCTGACAGCAAATTATATTCTTAGCACGCACAAAATCAATAACTTAGCCATAGGGTTGATTATTAATAATATGCGGTCAGGAATGTTGCCAGACGAAATAAATACAAACGGCGAACTTGTTAAACCGCATTGAACCCGTGGCGGCTTATTTAATAATCTCAACATTCTACAGCCAGCTATGAGCGCCACCTGCTGTTGGCAAGTGGCCCATGCCGAGGGATATCAGCGAGAGGAGGGTTAAGAGAGACGGTGCTTGTGAAACATTAGAGTTTCCCTCCAATACCACGATCTTAAGCAACCCAACTCGGAGGCTGCTATAGAGACTGGACATCGTTTGCAAAGGGAGACCCCCCCCCAGGAGGTAACGTACAAATAGCAATAATTGTTACCGCAAGTGCAGTATTTAGCAATTTTTGGGGGAATTTTATTGCAGATTTTTGGTTTGGTTTATGGGAGTTATGGTTGTACCGTATTTTAACATTAACACGATGGCCCAACCTTGAAAATAACCAGTTTTTTTAACAGGAATATTTTAGGTTCACGTTCGTTTGCAGTAGGCGGCGCTGCTTTGATAATATAGTAAGCGATAAAAGATAACCGTGACAGTGATAGCACGCGTATTTATGGGTCTTGGCTCAATGGATAATTGAGCAATTAAATTAATCAGCCATCCCTGATGTGTATCTACATAATAATTTGAAATTGGTAAGAGGTACGCTAAGGCCACAACGGACAGATAACTGTAATCTTAGCTATTCTGAGGGAAGCTAACATGTATTTCTAGTATTAAGTGTTAAACAGTGTAAATTAAGCGGGTTTACTTTAAAACCGATGTAAGGGGCGACCGCTCGCTTGTCATCAGCTGTTTTTTTGACTTTCCCGCCAAATCCAACGCTGCCTCATCACACCTAGAAAGTAGTGCCCCTGCCGAGTCCCTTGATAAAGTAACGGTGCCAAAAGCCCCGTTCGTCGAGTTGTCAACAGTCACAACGGCACATATATATCAGCGCCGAAACAAGCGAGACTTTTTGTTGCAAAAGTAGGGATTTCAGAGGCACTATGTTTGCCGCTTGCGCGCTCAGCTGGTCGAGTATCCGTGCGCGGCATGGCGTCCGCGTCTCGCCGCTGTTAAAGACGGTGTCTGTATTCAAATTTTAAAATAAAAATTACTCATCAGACAGTGGAGACGATGGTGAACACGCGCCGGACGGTCGCCGATCTCGACTCCAGCACCGAGTTTCTGTCGCTCAAGCCCCGCCAGAAGCGCCACGAGGTGAGCCGCCGCCGCACAAAACCCCGACACCGACTAGGCCGCGCCGGGCCGCCTCGGTCTTGCCTGAGGCGCCCGGCCGAGCAGCCACGACGCGAGGCCGGCAGGGATCCAGGCGAGCGCCGGGGGTGTCCCCTAGAGCCCGGCCGTGTGGGCAGTCATAGTCGGCGGAGCGGCGGCAGAACGCTGCGATGTCTCGGCGTCTTCGCGTCTTTGGCGAGACGCCGAGGGGCCTCACGTCGCGCCTGCTGACGGAAGGGCGAGCGTGGAATTCGGTGTTAATTGAGGGAAACGTGAGCGAGAAGAGACAATACCAACATGGCATCGAGACGGGCCGCGCAGAGGAGGGGTGGGTGGGGGGTTTGCGTGCGGTGAACGTGTTTGTTTGAGAAGTTGAAAACACTTGAGTGTTAATTTTTGACAATTTGAATTCTCCTCGCCCGTAACGCGTCCCCTTTTCGTCGTCGACGGGGACATTGCCTCCTGCCGCGTGTGTGCGAGACGCGACGCGGGAGTTTGTTGTTGGTGGTTGTTCCTGCTAACAAAAAATGGTGGGTTGTGTTTTTGTTTGGGATGGACAAGGGAGCTCGCTTGTGTCATTTGTGCTGGCGTGCTGTTGTTTACACGTCGGTCGACGCACCCTTTCAAGGATGAATGGATCGTCTGAATCCACTGCCACTGCTTGGTGCGCGAGATGTTGTTATAAACCCAGGTCTCCCTTAGCAAAGAAGCTGAGTCTCAGCTGGCTTTAACCTAATTATCATGAAAGGTCATCGATCAAAAATAATCAAGGATGTATTATGTGCAATGGTGTTACGTTTATTACGAATTACCAAAAAATTAAGGGAAGTATACACATTAAGTTTTAATTGTCTTGTATATACTGCAGTTGTTTTTGTATGCTGTGCAGCATATGTACATTTTCATCGTCTTAATTCAGTACATGCAGTACAATAATGTAATTAGTATAATTTTTATACTGAAGGGTTCTCGTTAAAATGTCATTTAAAAAATGACCTACTAGAATGTTAGCTTTAACTTCAAAACATGGTAAATCCAGATACAGAAGTGCTGGTGAAAGTTTATTTTAATATCACACACCCCACGTGATGCTAGTTCACAGCTCGTATCGCAATGCAATTTGATGGAATATTATTTAGCAGTGCTCCCAAGTCCATCAACGCTGTCACATTTGTATGCCCCCCCCTCCTGCCAGCCAAGCTCGGAGTCTGACGAGAGCGATGGGCACACCCAAAAGAGCAAGCGGAGGCGAAACGCAGCACCGGACCCACGCCACCACTTGCGCCACAGCAACAACGCGCCGGAGAGGGACGATGAAAGCGACGATGACAGCGACAGGGAAAGAGAACGCGAGCGAGGAAAGGGCGGCAGGGAGAGAGACCGGGACCGAGACAGGGAGAGAAAGAAAGAGAGCGGCTGGGGGAGACCACTTCATTCAAAGAAACGCGTTAACGAGAGGTCTCGTTTGATACTTTTTTGAGTTTCGTGCCCTTGTCACTTCAAAAGTCGATGGAGTCGTGTTTCGTGAATGCGATTTGTTGACTCTTGGAACTTTGTGATTCGCAGGTATTCGAAGCAAAAGTGAAGAGGATGGCATCAGACGAAAACTTAAATCAGGTTTAGTTTTTTAATATTTTTTTCCCTTTCCGGTGATGGTTTACACGATATAATTTGATACGTAACAATTGCCAACTTTTAAGTTTGTAAATACTTTTTATTCAACTCTAGAAAGTTGTTTTAGTGCACGCATTAGGACACTTTTTTGTATAGCAGTACATTATTAAATGTGTTATTGAATGTCTCGAGGATAATGTCTATTTAATATTTTCAGGATTTTGAGCCAGCTATATTTAGGGACGGTTTATGGTGAGAAAGACATGAAGGAGAATTAGCAAAATTGAGTGTTTGACATATCCTTATTTGTCGATATTTGAAGAACATTCCAATGAGTGCACTATAACATGACTTATTGATATCGACGCTCATTTAAATGTTTTTCTTGTGCCCAAATTTAATACGACCCAATTCCTAAACATTGAATACAGGCTATGGGAACACTTATTTCACAGCATTTGGCGCCCTCTACAGGTCAGAGAAAATATTTACTTAAGGAAGTCAATTTTTTTATTGAAGAGCTGCACCCTAGGCAATAGGAAATAAAAATAAAACTTAAAAAACATAAATGGACTCAAAGTTCTAGATTTGAAGCTTTCGTGACTGCAAGGATTCATATTCTTAGGTTTTTCGGTAAAGTCACGTAGGTAAAAAATTTAAATTAATAAAAGTTTTGTTTTATTTTACTTTTATTAATTTAAATTTTTTACCTACGTGACTTTACCGAAAAACCTAAGAATATGGGCTCAAAGTGTAGATAGAAAATCTCAGGGAAGCCGATGTTTTGACAAAGTTAAGGGACGGGTAACGCGCATGTCTTTGGCCATTTTGCCTAGAAGGTGGTGGAGGACGGGCCTCGTTCGGTAAGCGCTCCACGGCAGACGGGGAGCTGGGACACAAGATGGTGAACGGTGGCTCGGGCCTGGAGGTGCGACGCAGCCAACGCGTCAAGCAGAGTCGCTACGCCTCCCTCAACCAATCGCTCCTGGATGAACAGTATGTCACAAAGTATGTGGCAGCCTATAGCAACCGCACATTATAGTGTGCTGGCATTGTAGTTATGTGTGTTTTGAAAGAGCTGTTTGGGAGAGAAGCGGAGAAGTGAAGAATGGTGTATCGTAGAGGTGTAACGATTCACCACCTCGGTGATTTGATTTGTCGTTATTCAGAATTGCTATTTTATTCAAGTATCAATTGTTTTTTTTACATTATGGTGAATGTAGTGGCCACCATCGGCTACAGAAGTCACGTGCAGCAATTATAATGTATACTAAAATAATTGATTTCCACATTCTTGATTTGAAGCTTTCGTGACTGCAGGAATCCATACTCTTTGGTTCTTTGGGTAAAGTCACGTAGGTATAAAAATTAAATAAATCACGACGTTTCGGGCGCAACACAAGCGTCCGTCATCAGGTGGGAAAACATGCTTTCCCACCTGATGACTCTGGTTCTTTGGTAAAGTCACGTAGGTATAAAAATAAAATAAATCACGACGAAAGCATGTTTTCCCATCTGATGACGGACGCTTGTGTTGCGCCCGAAACGTCGTGATTAATTTTATTTTTATACCTACGTGACTTTACCGAAAGAACCAAAGAGTATAATTTCCACATGTACGATTCAATAACTATTATGGACACAATTTGGATGTGTCAGTGCATTGTTTCTTGCAATATATACGTAGTTTAAAGGAAATATTTTTATTATGACTAATTAGCAGAATTATTCAATTTAAATTACTTAAAAATAATGTAAATCTCACTAACTCAGGACTTTCATGAGTACCTGCATTGGGAATGTTGAACATTCCCTTGAGCGTATTGGTGGAAAGGAAAATAATAACCAGATCATATCCTTGCATATGAAGGTATACCACTTAAAGGTCTACGACAATTGGTTCAATTTGTAGATTTGCATGATCCGCCAACCCTTGCCTCCGAGGCAGTATTACACTGTCATGCTCAGCCATTATCTTTATTTGGATGGGCTTTGGGGAAAAAGAGTTCTGGATGGCAACGTAAACTTTGTTCACCTATATTATGAATGTTTTTGCGAACACTTAGGATAGCTTGTTTTCCATACAGTTGTACTCTTCATTATATTGCGTTACCATATCCTCCGAAATACAAGATGGTGCGAAAAGTAAGACGCATCCCAACCGTATGCTCGGTGTCAATAAAGTTATAACAACCTTGTCCTACACACATACCTAGCAGATAATAAAGCACACCTCCCAACTCTTGCTTTAAGATACAAGGGGTATTACTGGGAGAAACACAATCCCAGAAGACTCAACCTTCAAATCGACCAGCCTCTGAGTGTTTCTCACCTGTAACTAGGCCTCGGCAAGGTAAGGTAAATTACCCTTTTTACCGGGTAAAAGGGTAAAGGTTCGACATGCCAAGGGATAAGGTAAAGGGTAGGGTAAAGGTAGCTCAGAAGAATTACCCGGTAGGGTAAAGGTAGTGCGAATAATTACCTGGTAAATACAGTACCTTGTTTACCGCTAGAAGCTCCGTGGCGCAGTCCGTGGCCTCCATTTTAAATTGCGATAATTGATGTCGGACCAGATGGAGACGGTCCACGTTCTTGAGGTAGAGGTACGAAAGGACGAGGTCGAGGATGCCAGCAACGGCATTTTTGGGATTGCGGCGAACAGCAATCGAAAGAGGCAGCGGCATGCGTTCCTGTGGGAGCACACGCACGATTGGATGGAGGGTGATCCTCATGTACAGCAAGGGAAGCGGCAGTGCATGCACTGCTACAAGTGGTTTTCCACCCACACGAACGCGTCGGGGTGGAAAGCCCACCTCAAGGACAACGCGCTCGCCCCAGGCAGCGAGCGTCGGGACGTCGGCGTCGGCTGCCTGAAGGTTCCGTCTAACTGGGCCGGAGCGGCGCAGGATCTTATTGCCTGTCGTTCGTCCGAGGACGATGGCAATGACGAACTTGATCAGGTTGTTGATGAGATCGCCATCGACCAAGACGACTGGGACGAGGAGGTTATGGAGGACGGTGTCGTCGACAGCCTCAACGCCCGATTCGAGAGTATTCTATATGTATAAAGCGCTCTACCGAGCATTTATCGTTATGAACCTTATTCATGTGTTGTACCCCAGTAATTTCCCTGTAATTGGCTAATTTGTATGGGATAAGGGTAAAAGGTAGGGTAAAGGTAGGCTCGTTGCTTTTTACCTTACCTGCTAAAGGGTAAAAGATAGGGTCGAGCGATTGTATTGTGGCAAGGTAAAAGGTAGGTTAAAGGTAGTCTTGTGTTTTTTTACCGTTTAACTTTTACTTTACCTTGCCGAGGGCTACCTGTAACCGTCGGATTGGCACTGGTTGAATAAAAGAAACTAACTTTTCAGGATAAACAAGTAATTTTTTATAATGTGGATAATAAAGTACATATTTATTTCATGTGGGCCCTCCGTTGCTGTGCTACTAACTGTCTCTCCGTGTTTGTGGCATTGTTAATTTTCCCATCAGTTCGGCTGTTTTGCAAGACTTCGACAAGATTGGGGACCAGTCGGAGAGCAATCTACACAGCAGCCGCCGCCATCGCGAGATCGAGAAGCTCCGCCTGTGGCAGGACACGGAAGATGTGAGGATTGGGTTTGACCCCTCCTCCGTTGATGTTCGTGCTGTTAGTAATACCTCCATCAATGCATGGCCTCTGACCTGTGGTTGTGACCACTGACTTTGAACTCTTTGACTTTGGAGCTAAAGTATTCTACAGTCTTGTAAGATAGCCGATGTGTTTTGTTTGACGAAGCAATATATTTTTTACAATATTTTTAGGTTTGGTCTCTTGCGTACAGGTTAGCTCGAGTGCAGTTTTGAGTGCTTTTAAAAGTAGTGGCTGATTACATGGATCAGGGATCAAACATACATAATTGACATTTGCAATAAAAGTAAATAGCCTTGGGGACATCAGAAACTGGCCGATGAACGAGACTGGTTACGGAATGGCACCCGATGTAGAGACTACATAGAGGTAATCCACTGCGGAGAAGGAACGATGACCAGTTCATGGGAAGAAGTGAGATGGATCGTAGCAGCACTGGAACCTTAAGGGATATCCATGACATCTGGAGGCCTTCATCCTACAGTGGATATATTTTTAATCAAAGTTGTTAAATGTCTATTTGGGGCAACTTTAATAATTTAACTCCACAAATTACTCCTGACTTGTTTACACTATAATGAACACTTGTGTCTAAGTTATTTTGACCTAAGTATCAAAACTATTGTTTGCATTTGGTGTTATGGACTCTTCACTTGAAAATGAGTTTATTGTATTGTAAATCTGAGAGGGCCATGTCTAAGAATTACTGTTTGCCTCCCATCCGCTGCCTCCTAAGTAATTGTTATGGAATTGTGTGTTGTGCTCTTTCCTGTGGCTAAGGAGAGCATGGACATGTACTCGCGTGTAAAGCGAAAACGAAGGATAGCTCAACAGGACGATTTTGAAGAGGCCTCAAGCGACAAAGAATCCTCTGAAGGCGAGGGGGAAGAAGGGCAGACTGAAGGTGCGTACCTATGTGTGTGTTAAACTTCTCTCGCACCATACGTGGCCAACCGTGCTAATCGGAGATGCGGGAAAGGACAAACGGAACACATACGCCTGATCTCGTCAGATCAGACTTGCCTTCCCATAATATCTATAGTGAATTAAAAAAAAAGGAAACTTTCTTTATTTTATACTTGCCTTTCCTTATGCCACTCGTGCACGGTTGAACTTTATTTTGTGTGCGGTTAAAATTAACTTTGCTCCATCGGTGTGTTAGATGCTGAGGTGACTGATTTATTTTTTCAATCCTGTTGCTCTATGCCCCCTTTACCGTTTCTCTTTTGCTGTTATGTGCAACGATGCCTTCTTTATTGAGGGCGATGTTGGCAAATAAAATAAAAAAGACAGTGATTGATTGAGATCTCTGAAGCTAGACAAAGTTTAGCCTGCGTCGTGCCTATATGTGCTACGCCCGTTGGGGTGCTGTGATGGCAAGATGTTAACTACCTCTCCTGGTATGCAGGAGGTCGTGGGTTCAATCCCGACCCCTGACACCTGTATATTTTGAGTTTGCATGTCTGTCTCGCCGTGGTCACGTGGATTTTTGTCCGAGTGGATTTACAAAAAACGGACTTCACGTTCACCACTAAATGCTGGCGACGTCACCACGGCGCGAGTGCCAGGCTAGGTGCACTTCTAGTTCATCCAGTGTGCCCCAGTAGGAGAGCCAATCACGTGAGCTGTGGGCCTCTTTTTGAAGGTGACAGCCGTTACCATTTGACATTTAACAAACGTGCGCGCATACTCTTCATCTGAATAATGGTAAAGTCGTTTGTCTGTTTCCATTGTACGAATAAGCAAATCAATGCATAAGGTTTGCATGGCTCTGTCTCCCCGTGGTGGCGTGGACTTTTCTCCGAGTCCTCCGGTATTTCCCTCCACATTTAAAACATGCATTTATTTGGCTGCTATAAATTTCCACGTGACTTCGTTGAGCTATTATTTGTGGCCAGGTCGCTTTCTTAAAAAGAGCGAATAGCTCGGTGAGTTTTAACTGGTCAAATGAAACATAGTTTTAGTTTTTACATAGTTTTATTAAAGTTGTTATGGTCTACCTTGTGGGAAGCAGACCAGTGTGGTGAATGAAGCACCGTCAAATAATTTCTACAAACCGCACTGAGGCATAGTAGGACCCTCATCCACCAAGATATTGACAAAGAAAGAGCTCTCCAAGTATATTATACCGATAGTACTGGTGAGTTATGGTCTGTTGATCAGCACTCGATAAACTGGTTATCGTTCTGGTGTCTAATCAGTGCCCGACCTGGTTTACTGAGTAAGGATTTAAATAACAAAAAAGAGTTAAAGCAATGCATTATTTAATCAATTAATAGTGATTCTTAAGCTCATGATACTGCGTCAAATCACGTGTAAAAAAATTGTATTTTTCATATATGTATTAACTAATATGTTAATGTGATAATCTCATGAAGATGAAAATTTGTAAGACCTCGCATGTATCTCGCTCACTCGATTGCACGGTTAATTTTGTCCGTTGTCACATGTGTAGACTCGCATGAGGCGGAGGGAGATGTGGGCGCGGATGGGGATGAAGATGAGGATGAAGATGAGGATGAAGATGAGGATGAGGAGGATGAGGAAGAGGAGGTGAACGAGAAGACTTATTTCCTGCGGAAGAGGAAAGTGGTGCAGCGATATCAGGCCCCACCTATCGGTCAGTCCCGGTCTCTTCTTTGGGGAAATGAAATATTTAAACTTCCTAAATTACTTCTAGATTTGAAGCTTTCGTGACTGCAAGGATTCATATTCTTAGGTTTTTTCGGTAAAGTCGCGTACCTTTACATCAGCCACACCTTAACAACTCTTAGAACCTCCCAGTTCAACCAGTCTACACAACAAAGACTCAATCCTGGCAGCGGTTTCAGCCTCACCACCTCTACATAACAAAAGGCTCAGTCCCATTTACACGCACCTTTACATCAGCCTCACCTTAACAACTCTTTTCAACCAGTCTACACAACAAAGACTCATTCCTGGCAGCGGTTTCAGCCTCACCACCTCTACATAACAAAAGGCTCAGTCCCATTTACACGCACCTTTACTTCAGCTTCACCTTAACAACTCTTTTCAACCAGTCTACACAACAAAGGCTCATTCCTAACAGCGTGTTTCAGCCGCACCGAACCTCACAATAATATTCAGGGCCTACCTTGGCTCCTCTCACCCTCAACCAGTATATATACAAGGACTGTTTTCTTGGAATTTCTCTTACTTGATACAGCTATCGTTCTGTGACTGTTCCACCTGAAGACGGAGGCTTGTGTTGCCTCCGAAACGTCGTGATTTTTATTTTATTTTTATTTAACTTTTATTAATTTTAATTTTTTTACCTACGCGACTTTACCGAAAAAACCTAAGAATATGATTCCTAAATTACTGTTCAACTCTACCTGCTGGCATGGCTGACGTGTGGTTGACTAATGGTTGACTCCTGCATTCTTCACCATAGAGCCGGTTGCTCGGCGGCCGGCACGCTCGGGCGAAATTTACGATGTCCATCGGTCGCCCGTGCGCCGCCGCTATACTCGCCATGCCGGAGGCCCCCAGAGCCCATACTACAAGCGGTGAGGCTCATCCAACTTTCCATTCTCCGGTCTGTCAGTCAGATCTCAGAAGCTAAACAGGTTTAAGCTTGAATAGAGCTCAGATGGATGACTCACATGTAAAAAAACGGGTGTTGTAGGCTCCTGCAGGGCTCCTTTAGCAGAGGGCAGTGCATTGAATTTTATTGTTGTAGTGTACTAAGCTCCAGTATCTATGCTGTCCCATTCTGAACTGGCTTGCATGTGAAGTACAAACAAATAATCTACACAGCTCTCACTGTGAGGGGGGGGGGTCCTCGTCCTCAAGCGGGAGTGAGAAAAATGACTGTAAGATGGTGGTATCACCTATCAAACATTGGAGAAAGGCGAGGGGTAACCAACTCCAACTATTGCTGGAGGGACCTGATAATGGAGTGTGGTATGAGGTGAAATGGGGTAGTGACATCAGGTTGAATGGAAGAAATGTTAGCTATGGTAGCAAACTGGAGATGGAGGGAGAATATGGCAATATTAGCACATTCACTTTGAATCATGACAGCTTTAAATCAAGCATTTGACACTCATGTACAAATATGTGCATTGTTTTTGTCCACTGTTTGCCAAAGTAATTGTTTTATTAATGCTGTGTTTTTACTGGGTTATGATGAAATTAAGCGATTGCTTTTATCGCTTTATTTTGCCCAGCAAACTACACACATCATGCAAAACTGTCTTTAAAGACCCGTTGCTCGTTGTGTTTTTTCTTTTGCCGCATGTTTGCAGGCGAAAGAGGCATGCAATCAACAGCAGTGACTCGACAAGCTCCTCGTCGTCGTCTTCTGATCAAGAGCGTTTTGACAAGCGCATGTCAAAGAGCATGGCACGTGCCAGAAATCGGTGAGCGTGCCTTTGCCCCATTCTTCTCATATATTGACGGATTGAGCAGAATTGGAAGAGCCCTTTCAATCTCCTCATGTGGATACATGGGTTTCATTTTAACGATGTTCGCTCTGTATGAAAGCATTCTGGTCACCTTTTAATCACATTAGCTTTCTAAGGCATGGAATCACCTTAAACGAAAATAAAACCAAAAAACACATTTGTTATTTTACAGATACATATCTAAGGCCGTATGTCTCAGGCTGTTTAATACAGTAAAACCCTGGATTGTGAGCATAATTCGTTCCGGAAACGTGTTTGTAATCCAAAGCACTCGTATATCAGTTGTGGTCACGTGACGCTCGGCAGACAAAGCGTATACACATACTACTCGTGTTGGAAGACCTCGCTCATTTATCCAATTAATATTTATTTAGAAATTTTGCTCGTCTTGAAAAACACTCGCAGATCAAGTTACTAGCAATGCAAGGTTTTACTGTACGAGTCTGTCGCTTTATCAATGAGATAAAATGCTTGCGAGTGACTTTCAGGTCGTTTTTATAACATGTGCTATAGCACGGTAGTAACATTGCAGTGTGATTGCCGTCATTTTTAATTCGTCACTGCTTTGATATCACAAGCACTACTCGGACACTTCTGAAAACCACGAATATTCGTTTTGTTTTGACCAACGAAGCTTTAAATGTTTGTTGTGCACCTGAGGGCACACAGCCTCGGTACGATCTATGAAATAGTCAAAATAACCATTCCAGTTTTGGATTGTGTTTAGTTTGTTGTCCTTCCCCCGCACCTCCGATTAGCACGGTTGGCTACATACGGTGCTAAAGAAGTTCAACATACGTAAAGAGCTGTAGGAATAATTTACACCTGGTCGTTGATGTTGTGCAGGTGTCTACCGATGAATCTGAAAGCAGAAGACCTGGCAAGTGGTGTTCTGCGAGAGAGGACACGAGTAGGAGCCAGCCTGGCTGATGTTGACCCCATGAGCATGGATTCCTCCGTGCGTATTGCATCTCACTTGTTCATTGCCTCATTACCCTGTATTTTGCCACTTGAATGTGCATCGCAGTACATATTCCTTTAATTCTAGATTTGAAGCTTTCGTGACTGCAAGGATTCATATTCTTAGGTTTTTTCGGTAAATTCACGTAGGTAAAAAATTTAAATTAATAAAAGTAAAATAAAAATAAAATGAAAATCACGACGTTTCGGAGGCAACACAAGCTTCCGTCTTCAGGTGGAACCGTCACAGCACGATAGCTGTATCAAGTGATACAGCTATCGTGCTGTGACGGTTCTGTATCAAGTGATACAGCTATCGTGCTGTGACGATTCCACCTGAAGACGGAAGCTTGTGTTGCCTCCGAAACGTCGTGATTTTTATTTTATTTTACTTTTATTAATTTTAATTTTTTACCTACGTGACTTTACCGAATACATATGCCTTTCCATGATAAATCTGAGTAACTGTGTTTGCGTAATATGCTGAACATAACTTGGAACCCTTAAATGTGACTTTTGCCTATGGCATTGGGCAACCCAGCAGTATTTGATTTAATGGACCACAGACTGCTCATAAGAGTTGCAGAATTAGAAACCAGTTAATTGTTTGAATAATTAACATTTGATGCTTTTCATTATTTTACAGTCATGCAAAGTTTTATAATGGGAGAGAATATATTTGTCTCACATTTGACAAACTTTCATTTGGCTGAGCGTAACCTAACACAATATTTGTTAAAATATATCTAACTTGGGAATCTTTATGGTTGGATGCATTTCTAAGGTTAACGTCCAAGTTTAACGCAATGTCATTCAGCGTTCTTTGGCTACATTCGGTATGCCAAATATTGCTCTTAACATTTTGATCAGAAGCCTAGGAGAAGCAATTAAACTTTAGCAAAGGTCATGTGGTGAGTTTCGATGTTACCATGGCATACTTATAAGAAAAATATTCCAAATTGTCTCCAACTAATGAGAAAATCATACTTCCATAGACACCCATGGAGGTGGCCAGGTAACTGAGTAGTCACAATACTTGTTAATGAGCCACTTCTCACAGAGTTGAGGGTTCTTCTTCCAAAGTCACTCATTTACTGCATTTACCAATGTCACTCGTTTAACACTATTTGGCTGTTATTAATTTCCACATTATAAGCCACTTCGTTGAGCTATCATTCGTGATAGCCAGGTCGCTCCTGAAAAAGAGGTACATATCTCAGTGGGCCTTACCTGGTGCAATAAAGAGGTCTTTATTTGTTACACACAATGCTCAAAATAGGCCAAATTATGCCAGTGTTATCGTTCATTTCAAAACTTAAAATTGCCCAGAAGTGGTTAAAATAAAATGGAATTCTGTATGTAGCGTAACTAATTGATTAATTTGGACAATGGCATTTGTTTTTTTTATCACTGAGACAGCATGATATATAACATAGCAATTAAAGTATCAGTTGATGTTGACTTTTTATATTACTGTACATTTTGGTTGTGTTGTTCATGCCTGTATGCAGATTGGCTTTCATAGTATTGGAGGGTTAAGTCAACACATCCAAGCCCTCAAGGAAATGATTGTATTTCCACTCCTATATCCAGAGATCTTTCAAAAATACAGCATTCAGCCCCCAAGGTAAGAGTGTTGCTATTGTAATTATTAATTCAGGAAGGATACTTTGCAGTTATCCGTACAAAAAAAAATCTGTGTGGTTGGTGGGTCATATGAGACAGGACCCCATTCAATTTCAGTAGAGTGGATATATTTTACTCACTGCACCAACATTATTATCACCGTGTACTCTGTAAATATATTAAACAAAACATTTACATGCATACAATGAAAATGGAGTGCGGCAGTGAGACTGGTTATTCGGTCCTACACTCACACTCGGTGACCTGAATTCGATTCCAAGCCACAGCTGACCTCAATGGGGAGTGATATATGAACCGGTTCCGAGCACCCCTACACACCAACCTGCACTGACTAGAATGGCGAAGCATTGTCAAACAACCTCTGAGCAACATGACGTTGGGAGGCCTTCATCGAATGGTTGATGAATAAAGAACTATCAATGATTATTTATTTAAAGTCTTTCTAGATTTGAAGTTTTCGTGACTGCAAGGATCCATACTCTTTGGTTCTTTCGGTAAAGTGACTTTACCGAAAGAACCAAAGGGTATTTAAAGTCTACTTGTATACCATTTACTATTCATAATTTAATTGATTTAAAGAAAAGTAAAATGTTTAAGGCATCTAAATAATGTAAAATGCATATACAAATTTGTATATTTTTGTTGTCTCCATGCGCCTTTGCTTACATTGCCAGGGGCTGCCTCTTCCACGGCCCACCGGGAACAGGCAAAACGCTGGTGGCACGTGCCCTAGCCAACGAGTGCAGTCGCGGAGACCGGCGCATGGCCTTCTTCATGCGCAAGGGCGCCGACTGCCTGAGCAAGTGGGTGGGTGAATCCGAGAGACAACTGCGACTTCTCTTTGACCAGGTTCGCATACACCCCCTCACCTTCCCCCCCCCCCCAACTCTATCGAATAATTGTTTTATTTTGTGATGCTTCGTTTTTGGTGGTGGACAAGCGAGAGAGATGATAACACTGCTGCGGAGGACGGCCATTTCCTGAAATGTCTCCTGTTCTATTTTTGTTCCTTATAGAGAAATGTAATTGAGGAATGTGTTGAGTCTTCATCTAACAATTGGACCATGTTCTTCCTACCGGTTGTATCAAAATTGTACTTTCGGTGTCTATGTATGTAGTGCAGAATTATTTTTATTGATGAAAATAATGTCAGAATTTAATTGTCCATTGAATAGCATAATCCGTTTGAATGTTGATTCAGCCAACTCGCAGCTGATCAAATTGGCATTGAGGAAATGTTTTTTGCAACACATGCAGTGTGGGGTTGTGCCTTGGCAGCCTCCCTAAATCTCAAGACTCCTTTTTAATGAGGGGTCTTGCATTGGGATGCTTGGCCAATTAATTTGAAGGTTTTTGCCTTTGGGAGGAAATTTTAAAAACGCAGGAAAGAAACCATCGCACATGATGAAATAACACTCAGAGGTTTACAGAGATAGATTGATATGAATGCGTTTAGGAATTGACATTATTCTATATTTTTCACTTGTCTAGGCATACTTGATGAGACCCTCAATTATATTCTTTGATGAAATTGATGGCCTCGCCCCAGTTCGCTCAAGCAGACAAGATCAGATACACAGGTAAGGAGATGCATTATATTTTGATTTAAAGCTTTCGTGACTGCAGGGATTCATATTCTTGGTTCTTTCGGTAAAGTCACGTAGAAGGGAAATAATAAAATAATAAAAATATAAACCAATACAAATTATCACGACGTTTCGACTGCAACGCAAGCAATCATCATCAGGTGTGAAATCCACAGCAAGAAAATTTGAAAAAAGTGGCGGTTTCTTCTCAACGTCAACACCACGAACAGCGATTTGGCAGTTGGTCAGATGGACAAGTCCATCTATGTTCGGAAAAGAGGAGGGGAGAGAAGAAAATGGAATGCGGTCTGAAAGTCACCATAAGCGTGAACACAATCAATTAAGACCCGAAATGGTGTATCAAATCCTTGCAATGATTGCTAAGCCAATCAATTATTTCCCTTCTACGTGACTTTACCGAAAGAACCAAGAGATGCATTATGCTTTTACGACATTGGTATTACCATTAAAGGAACATGCACCTCAAAAATAAATAGCGCTTGTCTTGTAGCTCCTTTCCAAGACTGTCCTGAGCTGTCAGACTTCTTTGAGGGTTATTGATTAGGAGCAAAGCAAAGAATTTAAAGTCATGATCAGACACGTTAGAGTGAAATCAGAACAGTTTGACTTCCCTATTTCCTAAAGTTGGGGCATCTTCCATCAAGTTTGTATATTGTTTTTCAAATGCTATCTAGATAATATTGCTACACGAGCATTCGTTCTTCACGTATCCTTGCGAGTCTTACGGGAGAGAAACAAGCTGGTCAGCCAGTCTGTTTAGGGAGTCTACATTTGAGAATAGGTTTTCCCCTTATTTCTGGCAACAACAGGTGTGCAGATGTTAAAACACCAAATTGAAACCTTTTTCAAGGAATCATGTGTGCATTAACCACAATACTTGTGGTCAGAATGCAAATAAAAAACATTCTGCATTGTCTTTTGGCGTCCTCTGGTCTAACACCGTTTTGAGACTTGGCTGGATAGAAAGCTGCCTCTGGTGTGGACCAATCAGTTTCAAAGACAATGCATATGCTATCAGAGTGTTTATTGTTTGCATTCTAACCACAAGTATTGTGGTTAATCCACACATGATTTCTTGTAAAAGGTTTCAGTTTGGTGTTTTAACATCTTAACACCTAAATTTTGATATAAAGCTTTCATGACTGCAGGGATTCATATTCTTGGTTCTTTCGGTAAAGTCACTTAGAAGGGAAACAATGAAATAATAAATATATAAAACAATAAAATATACATCTTAACACCTGTTTTGTTGCCAGAAAAAAGGGGAAAACCTATTCTCATATTTTGATACTGGCAAAGGAGATCTCATGATGAAGTCTACATTTGTTTATGAGTTTTTGACTGTACAAACAAAGGTGCACACAGATCTACATCTACAAATTAAAAAAACACTTATAGGTGTAGAAGTTGCCATGACGAACGTGACTTGTATTCAAACATCCATGCGCTAATCACTCTGATAGCGACTGGTATTATTTTGAAGAATACTTTTTAAAAGTTATTTCTGTTGTCATTGCTCAAACTTAAATTTGTGCATTGGTATCGGTAAGCTTTGTGGTAGGTTTCATAGAGATATTGGTTCCCAGGTTTTTTTAGTTGGATGTACACCAATGGACATGACATTTCTTAGGCATGGCAAATCGGGTAGCCGATTATCTGCCTTAAACCCGATTTTGAAACGTGCATTTTTTTTTTTTGCGGCTGCTGCCCCTTTGCGCAGTTCCATCGTGTCGACGCTGCTCGCCCTCATGGACGGGCTGGACAGCCGTGGTGAGATCGTGGTGATCGGCGCCACCAACCGGCTCGATTCCATCGACCCTGCACTACGCCGGCCCGGCCGATTTGACCGAGAGTTCATGTTTAACCTTCCTGATGTGCAGGTATGAAACTGAGTCGCACAGAATAATACAGGTAGGAACAACAGGTTCCACACTGCCCACCAGGGATTATCTGTCTGTCTGTCGTGCATATTCCAACCAAGTTCCTACCTGCCCACTCCGAAGGAACGTGCTAATTGTAATGCCATTTATACCTCATGCAAAATTTCACAGACGTAAATGACTGTGATGCTTGAGGCTTGGTGTTGCTTGGCCAGCGATGTAAGGATTCATCATTTGATCAATTGAGACCTATTCTTAAGCTCGTTTGCACATGCCTTGATTGTGCATATTGCAAACACTTACTTTTTATGCACATTATAGATGTGCCTGGTATGCTCATGTTAAATGGAGGCAAACGGGTCGAATAAAGCTGTATAAAAGAAACGAAGCCAATAAGAATACCAACGAGATAAAATAATTTAATTTTTGAATGAAAGTATCTCTGAACCGTGACAATTTGTCATTTCATCATGGGTACATTTTTCAATATATAATGATGTGGGACTTGTATGCTTTTACCACTTTATTATAGCAGAAATATGTTTAGCCGCACATTTGGACTATGTTTATATCCAGATATTAAAAGTGTGATTTGTCTTGGAAAGTCTCATTGCATATTAATGCTTTTTCAGGTGTGTCCTGCAATGGTATCTTGGGCTATTTCCATTGAGAAGTTGTTTTGCCTTGTGAATAAAGCACTGTGCAGGAGAAGCCTGTCCATATGCGGGTGGTAACGCTTCAAAGTTGTACACATATGGCTTCATCACTCTATTTCCTGTACTGTCTTCTGACCACTTAAATAGTGCCAAGGGTTTTAGGAGTTTCATAAATCTATGTGATGCAAAAACCTTTGGCTCCAAAGCCTCAAATTACAGTTATGCATCAGCTTGTATTTAAAGTACCTGCATTGAGCCCTCGAGAGCTGCATTCTGATGGGTTTCCATTTGTCCATTAGGCACGGAGGCAAATACTGGAGATCCACACATGCAAGTGGACTCCCCACCTCTCCAACTCCTTTATGGATGAGTTGGCCGAAAAGTGTGTAGGTGAGTGGCCTTGCTGGTATTCAGTGTACAGACCACGATGGACCGTTCACAACTGTTAATGGTATTGATGATGAATATTCCAAAACTCACGGGATATCCTCGTGTTTGCTACGACTGCGCAGGCTACTGCGGCGCGGACGTCAAGGCCTTGTGCACAGAGGCCGTGCTGTCTGCACTGCGACGGCGCTACCCGCAGATCTACGCGACCAGCGAGCGCCTGCTTATTGACCCTTCCTCCGTGTCGGTGGCAACGTCGGACTTCCAGCGTGCCATGGACACTGTGGTGCCGGCCTCGCAAAGGGCGGTGGTGGCGCCGGGCGCGGCGCTTGGCCCTGTGGTGCGCCCGCTGCTCGCCTCGCAGTTCATGGTCTCCCTGGAGCGGCTGCTGCGTGTTTTCCCGCATGGACGCGTTGTGTGCCGCAACAACAGTGGCAGCAGTACTGCCGAGCAAGGTTAATCTGTTTTAAATGATCTGTCGTTCTATTCTATGGGAGCACTTGGCGACTACATTTTTTTCATCCGAGACCTAACGTCTCTTCCCGTCCGCTTGTTTTGCACAGGGTCTATTGTGAATTTTTACGTCCGAATGTTTTATATGAAACGATGTTCAAGTTAATTTAAGGATAAAATCATCGTAAGTTTAAATTTAGTGTGCCTTAAAGTTCTGAAAAGATTTTTAGTGGGAGAATCAGACGGTAAAAGTTTAATTTTCTTGTCCTGTAATTTAAAATGCTTGTGGAATGGAGTCGGTCATATTCCTTCATTTTTTTCTATGTACAGCTTGTGTGATTCTCTATTGCATGGTGTGTTGTTGCGTGCAGGCCTAATGAGCCAGATGGTGTTTGATGACCCATACAGTGATGAGGAGGATGCCCCCTCCATCTTCCAGAATGGTCCACTCCCTCCGAACGAAAAGCAAGACTTAGTGTCCATGGCAAACAGACCCTTCCTCAACTTTAGTAGGTGAGTATTTCCACAAACGATGAAACAATCACGATTTGAAAATCATCACTGTAATACACAGAGGTGTAATTTTGAAAATAATTTTTACTCTTTTTTTTTTATAACATACGGTTTGTTTACGATATAAATCAATAGTTTTCACATTCAGTAAAACCTCAGCTAGCCAGAATAATTTGGGTGAGCCTTGGTCCGGCTTGCCACGATTTCAATAACATTTATGTAAAAAACAGTACACAAGTCTGTATTAAATGTACACATATGTACAATAGTGTGTATATTTTTTAAAATATGTGTGTGTGTATTGGTTAGCGGTGCTAACCAACACACACACTCCTATATACTTTTTTTAACGAATGTGACATACGTGGTTTCTGCAACAGCTCGGTGCTACGCAAGCCCAGCACCCATAGGCCACGGCTGCTCCTGGCAGGAGACCCTGGCTCTGGGCAGAGTTCGCACATCGCGCCTGCACTAATCCACAGCCTCGAGAAGTTGCCGGTGCACAAGCTGGACCTGCCGCTGCTCTACGGTGTGAGCGCCAGAACGCCCGAAGAGTCCTGTGCTCAGGTAACAATTTATGGCCGTGCGATTGAGCGGTGAGTTAAGTCATGGCGAGAATTAATGTTGAATTGGTAGACTACACGTTTGAGCGAGTGGTGTGTGTCACCCATGTCTGTGCTTTTTTTAATGATTGACCCATATGGTTAAAAGTAGAATGCGGTTGGAGTCATCGTGGGGTGGAACACAGGATTGTTTCACCTGTTGCATTAAGCTCTGTTTTACTTTTCCTGTTGTCATGTTTCACTGTCAATTTTAGCTACCCTAGATTATTTTCTAAGCGGGCTCACACAGCATTATGCAAATTTCGCAAAAGGTTGTTAAAATAGAGAATGGTTGAAACCCTCATCATTTGAATCAACCAAAACCTGTTGACACAATTATATTGTGCCTTGTGTCAAAGAACCACTCTTAAGACACGTGACAACGAACCGCTTATAAGGCGTACACATTACCGTACTCATTCAGCCATTGTCACTTTGCAGGTGTTCCGCGAGGCGCGACGCACAGCTCCCAGCGTGATCTTCACGCCGCACATTGACGAATGGTGGGAGACCGTCCCGGAAGCCGTACGCGCCACCTTCACGTCGCTGCTCTACGACGTGCCACCCTTTATGCCCGTGCTGCTGCTCGCTACGGCTGAGACTCGGCACGACGCCATGCCGGCCGAGGTCAGCGTTACACCTTCTTCAGCCCATTGCCACCTGGCCCTTATCCACATTATTGTCATCGTTAAGGTCCTGGGGTAGGTTTGTATCGATTCGTAGGCAAAACATGGGATGCATTGAATGTTCCTAACAATTGCATGCAATTTACTTAGCGGGTGTGAAATTGCAGACTCATTTTTCCCTAATCCTTAATATTTTTAAGGTCCTGGGGTAGGTTTGTATCGATTCATAGGCAAAACATGGCATGCATTGAATATTCCTAACAATTGCATGCAATTTACTTAGCGGGTGTGAAATTGCAGGCTCATTTCTCCCTAATCCTTAATATTTTTTCTTTTGAGTTATTCCATTAATGTAGTTTCGAGTCATTCTCAAACGTAAGATCTTACACCCTCTCCACAGTTCAGTTGTTTGATTACCAACGATCAAGTGGGTGTAAAGTGTCGGATTGATTTGCATGTGAATAGATAAGATTGGTAATTTAATGATTTATCATCATTGGGGCAGAATTTCCGAGGCCCTTAGAGTGAGTAACACTGTGTTCTGGCTTATCCTTCACACTCGCCCTAACGATCGCAACGCCAGGTGTCTCTCGGTCTAACCTCTTCTAATCTTTGCCCCTCGCAGGTGCAGCAGTTGTTCCGGCCTCGGTACAGGGGAGGTGGTGATACTACAGCGACCCGGGGAGAAGGAGCGTCGTACCTTCTTCCAGGACCTGTTGCTAAACCAGGCTGCCAGGGCGCCCCCCACCAACAAGATGTCAGGTGAGGAGTGCTGGGGTCGTTTGTAAAATGGTAATCTTGATGAGATGTAGGCATGTGTTGATTGCCTCCCCACCTCCTCTCCCCTTACATCAGTGATGTTTTAAAAGGTGTTAACATTGTGGAATTTCAATTCATTTGAGAATGGGTTGTTTTTTTCTCTCGTTTGTAGTCTTGTTTGTACTGTTTCTCAATTGTTTTCTCGTGTTTGTACTGTTATTTGATTGATCATCGAGCCCTTAATTTAACATTCACATGTATTTTGCATAGATTGTGAAATCATTCTTAACGTGCGTAATTTCATGCTCATAAAAAGAGGATGAAGATCTACTTAATTTTATAAAAAAAACTCTTCATTTGTCAACAACAGTTCGATATACGGAACATTACCTATTATAGATGAGCCAAACTCCTTAATTGCTTGAATTATTGCAAATACACAGTGTGCGTGTTAAATGTTTGTTATTTGTGCTTTTATGCACCACTGGCAAAGCAGTATCACAAGAAAATCTTGATTTTTATTGATATATTGTATTTCTAGTGAACAGCAGCGCTGCTGAACTGTTGATAGCATTCACACATGGGATTTGTTTTGCTGTCAGAACCAAAGCAATTACATTTAAATAGATTTTTTTTTTTTACACATTAATGTGCAGTCAACCTGATGAGATTTTGTGACGTGGGCAGTGACACTTTCCCTCTCTTGGAGGGCAGGAGTGTTCTCGGTAGAAATAAATGCATTTTACTTAGTCTAGTTTTTCATTAAAGGAATACAATTATTCAAGTACCATTGTTTTTAATTTTCTAAATAATAGCCTTTCAAGTCACACTCGACCACTATAATTAGAGTACTTTATTGAATTAATTGTGAAAATACACGTTAATACAACATCATTGCAGAGACACGAATTGAGTGCTATGGAGACACATTCATCCACAATTGTAAAGTTCTCCGCAGTGAAGCTTTATATTCACGTGAGGAGAGCTCGCCACAATTGGCGCACTTGTGTACGTACAAGATATGAGCTATGAGTTTCTTCGTCTGTCTTCCACTGTAAAAAAAAAAAGCCTTTTTATATTCAATTGCCTTATCTGCATCAGCCTGTGTGTTAATCAACGACTTTAAGATCTCTTTAAGTGACCTTTTTCACACACTTCCCAACTTGCTTTAGATGCTCGTCCAATTGGTGTCAAACTGATGTTTTCAATTCCCGGAGACGGAATTTTTCCAAACTAAATGAGATTTTTTTTTTTATGTTGTGGGTTTCATTTTGTGCAGATATTTGTGACCAGGCTTAGGTCATACATTTTCTGCACCGCATTTAATCACGGACGCTGCATACCATATTCGAACACAGTATATCAGCCGCGTCGACCCTTCCTTGAAGCACCCGGGCCACCTATGTTGTAACTTTTCTGACCCGCCCAACTGGACATCTTTGAAAAAGAGCTTCACAGCACATCGGATTTCTCCAGGATGAATAAAGATTCTAATTATGATACCCGGCTGGTGGGTGTGTGTGGCGCAGTGCTGCAGGCCCTAGAGGTGCTACCGCTGGCGCCTTGCCCCGAGCCACGCAAGCTGTCGGCCGAGGAGTTGCAGCGCCTGGAAGAGCAGGAGCAGGACACCTTGAGGGAGCTGCGTCTTTTCCTGCGTGACGTCACCAACCGCCTGGCCACCGACAACCGCTTCCGCATGTTCACCAAGCCCGTGGACATAGAGGAGGTGCGTAGTGGACGTGGCACTTGTAAGAAGCTTAGCCATGCGTGGGTGGCCTAAGTACTACAGCGTGTCTGTTAATGCAGCGTTTCGGAGGCAAAGGTCGGTGGTTAAAGGGTTCTTAGGAAGCTCTTAGATTTGCTCGCCACAGAGGTGGCCAGAAGATGGCAGTGCAGGAAAAGGGGGCGGCTTGCAATCCTGTCTTCTTGGACTTTTGAGTGATGTCCCCTGTCATGTTTATGGGCCTTTAGTTATCACAGAGAGATAATTACTTCAAATATTTAAGTGAGTTCCAAACTATTTGCTGCCCTGAGATAGTGGTGGAAATTCCAAATTCTTATGGCCTCGGCTTATTTAAAGTAAGAGCTCTTCAACTCGAGTTGTGACGTGGAAATAAACATTTAGAAATACATGTTGTTTTTTTAAAGTCATGGTTACAATTTTATTTTTTCCATAATACGAAAAAAGATGATAATCTTCCAGTTAAATTGCGATAGCATACAAGAAGCAATTAGCATGAGACGTGTCAAGCAGTATGATCAATTCATTTAGTTGAAATAATAAAAGTTATTCAGGATTAGATAACCTACGACAACCTGTCCACTAGTTGCCTATTATTTGAAATATATCTTTGGACTGAGTAATGTGTAAGGTGGAATAACAAATTTATGTGGAAGTTGAGAGTTAGAAGACCATGTTACCCTATTACCTAAAATAACTATTTTCATAAAACAAAGAAAATAAATAGACCCGTGTTAACGGCAACAACTCCAACATGGAATTTAAAGCAGCTTATAGAAGCAGCAGAACACATCCCCTAGCTCTTACATAATCAGATTGTTTCTGGATTCTTGAGTGTCTTCCTGCATGCAAATTCTACTTCTAATTGAAATGTCCGAGTTGGCCAAGCACACAATTAATGAAACGCACAACCCAAGAAACGAGCAGTGCTTGTAGCTCTGCGCACACAGGCTGTCTGGCATGGCTTTGAAGCTTTGTGAATGAGTAAATAGACTTTCAAATTACCATCAGACACGCTAACACGATGTTCTGTAGTAACGTCACTGCATTGATGTATGGGATGTATCGGAGTGACGTCAATGCGTACCTTGGAGACGCGCTTGGCCATGATATTAAGAATTTTTAAAATCAATAAAGTTTCATAATCATGTTGGATACCCGAGGGTACACAATCTAGTTACATACCTACACATTAAGAGGCATTTTTTTTTGGGGTTGTCTCCAGTGCACAAATAATCATTCTTTATGGGACCTCCTTTGCCAGCACCAAAATATGATAATAGGTTTTTCCCCTTTTTTCTGGCAACAAAACAGGTGTCAAGATGTTAAAACGCCAAACTGAAACCTTTTAAAGGAATCATGTCTGCATTAACCACAATACTTGTGGTCAGAATGCAAACAAAAAACATACTCTGATAATGTATGCATTGTCCTTGAAACTGATTGGTCCACACCAGAGATAGCTTTCTTTTGTGCCTCGTCTTAAACGGTGTTAGACCAGAGGACGCCTCTTGTGGTTAATGCAGACATGATTCCTTGTAAAAGGTTTCAGTTTGGTGTTTTAACATCTTAATACCCGTTTTCTTGCCAGAAAAAGGGGAAAAACCTATTATCAATCATATACTTATTTCAACAGCATGTGCCTTTTGTGCATTATTTTCTGGGCGAGAAATGTACAGGTGTCAACATAGGGGGATATATCTGGATTTCGATGAATTTAAGTGAGTGCCAATTTGCTGGGTCTGTAACACATTCGTGACACTAAGACACGGAGGGATAACGAATCTGGTGTTGGGAAGCTCCTTTGGATGTGCTCAGGTTGAGGAAGAAAGGAGCTTAATGTGATTGTCGGGAGTTGTTTGGCTTAACAAGCACTCGACCGGTAAGCTTAGCACAAAGTAACAAAAACGTTATTGACAGCAGTAGGGCCTTTATCTGCCCTGAACCCTGTTTACTCAGCCTTCGTGCGTCATGCGAGTGTAGGTCCTATGATATGCAATTTGCACCTTCGTCTGTCCCTGCAGTGGGTCACTGACCTTACTTTATTCCTGCTTCCCATTTCCAAAACCACTTCCTCCCCACAAACATCCACCTAAATACGTCTGTCCCCCACTCTGGATCAAAGCAGGATTTCAAGTCACCATTGACTGCAAAAAAAGTAATTACCGTCCAACAAATTAGTTTTTGCAGAGCATTAAAATGCGTGTGCCACTCATGTGGATGAATTCGCTTTTTGAAGTAACCTCAGAAATGCTTTTGCCGTGTGTTATGCTGCTCACCACAAGATGTCAAAATCTAAATGTAATGTTCTCATGATAGCCAGTTAATGGTTTCATCCTCGCCAATGACTGTCCACATTTTTTAAATTAAAAAAAATAAGTAAATTGCAGCTCTTTGAACGAAAATTATTATTTTGTTTACTATGCGATGAACATTTCTGGAGCAGCATGCACGATAAGGTGCTGCACGTGAAGGTGGCTGATGCTAAGTTGGAGAACCGAGCTGGATCAACTGAAATTGTGGGTTCAGATCCAGACAGACAGACACCCGTGATTAAATTGTACAGGGAGTTTATGGTCACCGATGACTGCACCAGAAAAATGTTTGCCTGATGACGAACGCTTGTGTTGCGATCGAAACGTCGTAGTTTATTTTTATTTTTTTCTTTGAACCTATCTCCGTGACTTTACCGAAAGACCCAAAGAATATGTTTGCGTATGTTGTGTTCATTATAAAACTAAATCGATTTGATTGTCATGTCAAAAAACATGCGAGGAGGTGCTCTACCAAGTTAAGATAAAGAGTCAACTGAAGGGACTTCAGAAATAGTTATGTCATCTCGAGACATTTTTTTGAACACAAGGTGATGTTTCGCTTTTCAGGTGTCCGACTACCTGGATGTGGTGAGGCTGCCCATGGATCTGTCGACAGTGCGGATGAAGATTGACCAGCACAAGTACGAGACAACGCGTCAGTTCCTTGATGACATCGCCCTCATCTGCAGTAATGCCCTCGATTATAACCCTGACAAGGACCCCAGCGGTGAGGCATCTGCCTGTGTCTGCACAGTGTGCACATGTACACATAACGACACATATCCTAGGTATCGTGATTTATACTGTTAGGAACCTCCTGGTTCCACCAGCCCACAGGGGATTATTGTATCCGTTCGTCCGTCGTGCAGGGAGGGGCTGGGTGGGGAGGGAGGGGCTGGGTGGGGAGGGAGGGGCTGGGTGGGGAGGGTGGGAGGGGTGGGGCTGGGTGGGGAGGGGCTGGTCACCCCGTGGTGCCCTTATAAAACTCAGCGTTTAACCTACTCACGCCGGCTTGTGCCCGCCCTCATAGTCGGGCATATTTGCGGAATACACCACGCCGCCGTTCACCCTGGCCATTGACCGAGCAACCCAACGTTTCTACCAGCTCCCTCCTCAGGAATGTGTTATTGCTGGGAAGCACTGTTAACAAGCACCAATCAACGCTGGCACGGTGCACAAGGGGATGATTTAGGTCGGCACCATGTCTATGATTAATGTAATTGATGAGTTTCTAATTCATTGTCATTACTCGGCTTCACGTTTGGGTTTGAAACTTACTTTAGCGCCCTTTGCGCCATGGTGTTGTTTCAAGAGGGCATTACATCATATCTCATCTCAGACATTTGAATGAGCACTTCTGCCGACAGCTGTGGGCACAAGGTGACTCAACACCTTGTCTACAAATGACAATTCGTGTGCCAGTTGGGGCAATGATTGTTTCGTGTAATCCCAATCGAGTGATATGATGGTAATGTTTCAAATTTGGCAATTTGGACCCTTACACTTGCACACAATGCCCTACTTATTTGGAATGATGTCAGGAGATCGTTTAACTTCCACTGTTACGCTGATGGTGCATAGTTGTATGGTATTTACACCCGCGGTAATAACCAGGGGGGCCGCTGGGCTCAAACCGCAAGCTTCTGCGGCAACAAGTAGTGAATGTGCTTCCGATAGGCCATGTCGCAACGTTGTAGCACTTCTAGTGGCTGTTGGGTTCATGTATGTATTCATAATAAAGGTTTTTTGGGTTAGATCGCGTTATTTATAAATGTGTCGTAACCCTACACCACCCGACACGGCCAAACAGTAAAAAATGTGTCACGTTTGCAAAGGACAAAATAATTCACTTCTTTAGCCCACCGGTGCATTGAAGAGCGAATCAACATCATTTAAAATTTGAGTACGACGTTTCGCTGGTAATTACATCCAGCTTCATTGGGCGATTTGCCAGAATGGTGAAGCTCTCCTGTTGCTCCCGGTCTTAAATAGAGCAGCAGCAGCAGGGTGACGTCATCATTTAATTCAATAAGGTGCAGTGATTAGAGGCAGAGAGGGTATTGTAATTATATAGATTGGTATTTGTTTACCTTATAAGGAATTGTAATTGTATTATAATTTTATTTATTTAATAACACTCTTCCAGACCGCACCATTCTGGCAAATCGCCCAATAAAGCTGGATGTAATTACCAGCGAAACGTCGTACTAAAATTTTAAATGATGTTGATTTGCTCTTCAACACACCGGTGGGCTAAAGAAGTGAATTATTTTGTCCTTTGCAAACGTGACACATTTTTTACTGTTTGGCCGTGTCGGGTGTTGGAGGCTTGCGACACATTTATAAATAACGCGATCTAACCCAAAAACCTTTATTATGAATAATATTGGTCGCGAAAGCCTTCATGTATGTATGTATGTTGAACTTCTTCTGCACCGTACGTAGCCATGCTAATCGGAGGTACGGATGAAGGACAGCAAACTTAACATGATTTGGGGTCGTGAACAATTAGAACACAAATGTAAACCAGTTCTTACGCAATTGATTCAAATGCACGTATGATAAGTAAAAATAGATGTAAATCGATACGTCACTGCTTACTTAATATTCGCTGACAATATACATTTAAAATATATGATTATCTTTCTGTATACTCTGAGAGTTTCATAAATGAATAACATACAAATAAGACACACATACCAGAGAAAGCAGCATGGGGCCAATGAGGAGGACATGTAGTCCCCTTCCTTGCGATCAATTTCAAGGCAGAGGTCGTGTTATTGGCGTATTGTGCGTGCTAATGTGAATGGCGGTGGTGAAGACAGTTGGGTGGCTTGCGCTGTCGTGTTACTATCCATTGTGGAAAGTGTTGCGGCCCCACGTTTCAATTTAAAACAAATTTGCTTGCAGGCTCTCCCAATTGATCACTTGTGGTTGTACAAAATCGTATAGTGAAATGCATATTTTTTTTCTCTCCTTTTGTTACTGTTTACGTTAAAATGTGTCGGCCGAGTCTTTTTTTACGATGCAGCATATTGCCCACACTTACTCCATTTGTTCCTCATTGCAAGGTTTTAAAATGAAGCTTTAATAGAATTCGAGGGCTCCATTTTGAGAATGTTATCTGAGCTGCAGTTGCATTTTTACGGTGCGTGAAAGCTAATGACTTGCATACAGTGTCATTAAGCATGGGCAATAATTCATCCAACACTCGATAGAACATTATTAATGATCATTCATTCACACCTTAATTTGAATGCTACCGCACCATAATTGGGCATTCACATTCAGGTTGCTATAGTCATTAACACGGCAAGATCCGTATGCTGTCGGCATGGTACAACACAACAGGCACAGTTTAACGCAGAGCTGCATTAAAATTATTGTGTCCATTATATTCCTTATATAACATAAACACCTGCCAAATATTACTTTTATGAAATTCCTGTATTCCTACTTTCAAACTCTGGCACATGTGTACTCTGTTTGATGTGTGTGGTGGGTGTATGGGTGCACGTGCTCTTTTTTTTCAAAAGTGGTGTGTTCCATAAAAATTGACATTTATATATTGCACAGGGGCTACTTGCATTACAATTTCCTATAATAATAACGTGATGTCGATATTTTCTCTGATGGTTGAGTTGATGTTCTTGTGACGATATTGTCCCCGATGCCTCGGCTTGCTGCAGATCGCATGATCAGGCACCGAGCGTGTGCTATTAAGGACACCACCTACGCCATCATGGCCTCAGAGTTGGACCCCGAATTTGAGAAACTCTGCGAGGAAATACACGAGTCACGGAAAAAGCGAGGTAAGCTGTGTGCGAGCGGCCGGTGCGCGTGTATGTAAACTCAATAATAACCTGGATCTGTCCCATGGCCTCCTTGCCAGCGAGTGTTTAACATTCCACGTTGCTTCAAAGTTCACTCGATTAGACAAAAAAAAAACGTGCTGTGATGTCATCGTGGTGTGTCCCACAATTATTAAAAAAAGTCCTCAAGTGTTGCCTTGTCTGAGGATTTTACGAATCCTTGGATTGTAATTTTTAGTCAACAAGTAATTTGTTTTCAGCTTGTGTTTTCGCTCTATTTTTTGGCTCTTTGGATTGTTCTTTCCAAAGACGTTCTCATCCAAGTTATTCTTGGACAGGACCACCTTTTTGTTAACTGCTCAGAATCTGTGTAAATGTACAGGGGACCTGTCAAATAACAGGACGCAGTGTGTGGATGAGTGAGTTGGCGAAAAATAAGTACTTGGGTGGTGGTTCATTTTCCGATCACATTTTATGAATTTGGCATGATGTGCATTTTTCACACCGTCGTAAATAATTGAAGCAAAAAGCTTGTGGAGTTTTTCAAAATATGTTTTGCCCACTTGTGTAATATGCATTTATAATTCATAAATCTATTCCTGGTTTTGGACGTACAAACGGTATTTTGTTGTCGTGATTGTATTAACCCTGACACTTAAAAATTAAGTTTGTGTCACATTAAATAATGTGAATCACTCAACTAAATCTACCCATAGACTTCCATTAATATGCTACATGTGTAGGTATTTTTCTATCTTTTCAAATATGTAAGGGTACATTTGTTTTTTGTATGAGCACATTTTTGTGTACTTTACCTAAATGAAGTGCTTGCTAACAGCATCTGGCTGTACAGTCTCTTGTCGGCTGTGCAGGGAACTTTATAAACATATTTGGTAGTAATTTTTTTGTGAGTAGGATGGAGGTTTTTTTTTACTTGCACAAATAGTACATAAATGGGCTTGAATATAAACGTTTAATAAATATTGTATTTTGATTTAAAGCTTTCGCGACTGCAGGGATTCATATTCTTGGTTCTTTCGGTAAAGTAACGTAGAAGGGAAATAATAAAATAATAAAACAATCAAATTCTCACGACGTTTCGACTGCAACATAAGCAATCCTCATCAGGTGAAAAAAAAAACAAGAATATAAACATTGCATTGATTTTTTTGTTTCAGTGTATCTCACGTTGGTTGCTTGTTCACAATCACATGTTTGTTTCAGGTGTTGTGCCGGCCATGTCTGCACCAGAATGTTACACTGTAAGGACGTTAAAGAAGAAAGACAGTGAAGCTGTAATTCTGGCTTCTGATGAAACCGCTGTGACAAATACCTCCAGCCCAATCGTGAAGATCAATCGTAAGTGCTTGTACTCCACTAAGATCGTTTGTTTTGAAAGCCAAACATTAGTCCAAAGCGTTTTATTAGTAGCTTGTTGCCTGTTTTGAATTTTTCCCTTATTACATTTGTGCTCTACTCACGGAGTTTGCATAGCTAAATAATGTATTGCCGGTGACCTCGTTTTAAAACGTAAGTAAAAAAACATCGCAAAACGGCCCTGTAGTTTCACTGTGCCCGTTTATCACAACAAAAATTATATGCTGGAGACATTGGGATCCGGCTCACTCGCTGTCAGTTGGAGCATCCTTGGAGATGAATTGAAAATGAGCAGAGAGGGGGAGGGCGGCTCTCGTTTTTACATCTTCGCGGATTCCAGGTTGGCGTTTGCCGCCCAATGCAATGGACCTCGTTTGTCGGAGGCGTTTTGTGCATCTGTACAGAGTGCTCGCGCAACGGCGGCATGCTCCCGGGGGGATCCGTCCGGCTCGGAGCGCACGTCAATTTAATCTGCCCGTCGGCAGCCATGCGCTATTCTTGGTTGCTGCTGTGATGTGCGCCCTTGTGCTAAAGTCACCTGATGCCACCTTCCATTCAAATCCTCCTGCCATTTCTGTTTGCCTGGTACTTTTTTTTTGGACTGGCTTTTGCAAGTGTGTCACTCAGTTCTGCGCACTTTGGCTGCACTCCTTTTTATCCGGTCATAATGAATGAATATATAAATAAGAATGCTTTTGTTATCTTGAGTAGCCACACGGTTTGAAGTATATTCATAATTCGGGAATTATGATAGGATAAAGGACACATTTGTCAATCATTGGCGATAACAGTGATGGGCTTCTTTAGGGCTCTTATTTCAAGGCCAAAATCAATTGGGGTGAACATTGGTGATCTTAATGCCAGGGACTACTTGCAGACTCATTTGTCTTGGCGGTTGACCTCATTGTATTGCAGGGGGAATTTGACAAGGGAAACAAAACTTTAGCTGACAGAGAAATCGAGTTCATGGAGTTTCCATCGCAATGGATAAAACATTGAAAACGTTAATTTAATTAATTTCGATTAATCTTATAACTCGGCGTACGTTATTATTTTTTCTTCATGCTATTTTCACATATTTGATCTTCAAGATTTGGATAAAAAAATCTGAATGCAGTACGCAAATGGATCCTTTAGTTTTATTACAGTGCTTTATATATGTTTTGGCTTTTACATTACCACCATTCTCCTAAAGCACATTTGTTGCAGGCTTTAGTCGCTTGGCGCATGAATTCATCTTGGCCAGAGGAATTTGGCTGTAGCTGTCATCCCAGCAGACACCGGTTTCTGGAAGAGGCTCTCTTACCACAGGGCAACTGTAATGAGAGTGCCCCCTTTGTGCACCACAAGGCCATAGAGTGCCATCTGCTGTCATCCTCACTCGGGATCTGGTTTGTTTCTGTGTGCTACTCGAGGAAATCGAAGGCACACATTTTGCAACTTCTCTTTGTGCAGTCATTCATCACTTCCATGACTTTACAGTAATTTTCAGAGGTTTTTTTTAGTCGCAAGCGAGAGGCAATTAATGGCCCTTCATCCATAAACATTACTTTATACTTTATTCGTTAAAAAAATCTGATAAGAGGCTGCATTGGGGGTGCAGTGTTTAGCATACCATACTATACATTTCGAGCCCCAGAGTTCGATTCCCGGCAAAGGCTAACATCATTGGCAAATGGTATCTGAACTGGTCCTGGAGACTTCCTCCCCCTCACCCTTTTACCAATCTGAACTGACCAATATATATGAATAGAAAAACATTGATTCTTACATGATCTGATGCATGTGTCATGAGCTTCAGAATCATTAAAAGAAAAATCTACGTATATTGTTTGTCCTTTGTTATATGATACTTTTTGGTGTGTGCAATATAATTACGTTTTTAAATCCCAAAACATCCCTTTTAGGGCCATTTTTGTTTACTTACAACTTAGTTTTAATTTTTGACTATTCCATTTCATGAACAAGGGTCACCGAACATTACTGTTAGTGCCGCAAACGCACAGTGTGATTGGTAAATGGTTTATAAACAAAAAAAACACAACTTGACTTTAACATCCTATTGCTAACGTGTATATGTTTCACGCATTGTTGAGAGACGATATAACAATCCCTTGAGTCATGTATTACGTACACATAAAAAAGACAAACATCAGCATGTATTGCCATACAGGCCGTTATGACAAGTGCTGTTGGCGATCACCTTTTAAGACTGCTGATGTGTGTACACTGCATCAAGTACTCATTTAGAACCGAGTCAACGTACGGGATAGCCCGGAGAAGGTTGTGATGCTATTTGATGTCCCGGTGGCCACGAATTGAACTCTGGCTGGTCATTGGGTTCATAGCACGTGGTTCCAACTGCCGCACGCACAGACCTGTTTGTAGGGCAGCCTCCAAGTACGTGTGCTTGTGTGTGGATGGCAGCCTACAAGAAGAAGCCTCGACGGCGCATTAAGTGGTCGAGGGGCGTGTGCTGCTCCTACAAGAAGGCCCGGCTCCCGGCGCCGGCAAGCGCCGGCTCGAGAAAAGACACCGACGTCAAGTCCGAGAAGGAGGAGGCGGACGACAAGGACGATGAGACGGAGGACACGTTGAAAGATACGACAGAGAAAGACGACGGTGCCGACACCAGCGACAATCATGAGGTATGCAACTTTGTTCCACAGCTACAGTAAGTCGTGCTTTTGTGCTAAAGTATTTATTCTCACTGCCAATTTTTACATAAATGTGGGCAAAGAACACCTTGCTGCCTCAAAGAACGTTCGTGTCTGGTTTTAGGATTTTGTGCTAAAGTATTTATTCTCACTGCCAATTTTTACATAAATGTGGGCAAAGAACAACCCTGCTGCCTCAAAGAACGTTCGTGTCTGGTTTTAGGATTTTCAATATATGTATGTTCGTTTATAGAGAATAGTTGATGCTGTGAACTTTTAATTTAAATTCCAATGAATTTAGAATACTTGTGTGCTTTGGTTTTGTGGCATGTATCAGGAATCCTCATTCATATAAGTGTTTAAAAACATGACCTTAAAACTAAGTTAATAGTATTCCCCCTGCAGGAAATAAAATTCCTATAATCAAGTTGTTGATTCTTAAGAGATAATCTCTGTATTAGGAGAATCGGTTAATATCATATAGTGCACCTTGATCTGCAACGATCGTTCTGCTTTCTGCGTTAGCAAATGCAAATGTCATTCATATAATAACATCGAGCAACCACAAATTCCCTGACACAAATCTCCATATGGGAATATATGGTTGATTGTATTGATTGTGATGTGACACACACACGCATGCGCAAACATATGGTAATAACGTTACAGGCATTGCAATTGTGAAAGCCCTGCAAGGCATGAAGCCACTTGTCACTGCCTGGCTTTTACATAGTTGGATCTATTCTGGGTTTCCACCCTCAATAACTCTACAAGTAAAGTGCTGCTCATCATTTAAGCAGCACAATTGCTAATTGCCAAGTAAAATATGTAGTTTGGCAGGAGACCGCTTGCTCTGGTGTAGTGGCTTCAAATTTGGTTCCCAGCATTGCTTCGTGAAGCAGTATTGAACCGTTTGGAGCATTGTTGACTTTGGAAGTATTTCATGTTTCATATGGGATTAATAAACATTTGTATTACTCTATATACATAGCTGCACCCTTAATCTCCCAGAATGTTCAGTTCGTATAATACACTCGCTTAACTTAAGACATTTAGAATTACTTTGATTCAGTGATAATTAGCACTACTTTGTGAGAAGTCTTATATATAGACTGTTGTCCATCCAAGGAATGGAGATTTTCCCTTTGCCCATTTGAGCATGAAAACACATGTTGAGTTGATAGTGTCAGCAGTCTAGCTGTTTCGGTTTCCTCTCTGCCATGAATATCTTCTCCGATTTGTAAAATGTAAGGCGAGGTAATAAGGTGATGTTCTCAACCAAATCACCGATGAGTGCACCAAAATTCCTCACGTAAAATGTATGCTCTTCACTATGGGGACCTCATTTGCCAGTAAAAATATGATAATTGGTTCTTTACCCTTCTATCTGGCAACAAAACTGACACCTTTTTGCAAGGAGTCATGTTTGCATAGACCGCAATACCTGCAGTCATAAATACAAACAAAAGACATAACTCTGATAATGTGCACATTATAAATACAAACAAAAGACATAACTCTGATAATGTGCACATTATCAGAGTTATGTCTTTTGTTTGTATTTATGACTGCAGGTATTGCGGTCTATGCAAACATGACTCCTTGCAAAAAGGTGTCAGTTTTGTTGCCAGATAGAAGGGTAAAGAACCAATTATTGTATGCTCTTCCTTAATATAGCAAAATTTGATCTCTGAGAATCGGTACATTTCAGTTTTATTGTCACATCACAAACACCTTCATAGTAGGGCATGTGGGAAAGTGCCGTGGACACTTGAAGGGATCTCAAAACTAGTTCTGTTTTATCATATTCCAAAGGAATTATCTAATCCAGTGTGATGTGATGCTGAGAAAGATGGACATTTATTAATCTCATGACACGATGCCAAAAGCACATGTTCCGTGACATGGCCTAACGTTAGTGCATTCGCCGCTTGTTGCAGAGGTTAATGGCTCGAACGCAACGGCCGTCGTGAATATTACTGCGGGTGTGATAACCGTAATAATACTATGCATCTTAGCTTCGTAGTGGACTTAAAAATCCATTGTGTCCTGGCGTCGCGGTCAAAATCCGACAAAATTCGAAAGTTGGCCCGGAAAGTGCTCAATTGGGATTATGCATAGCAATCATCACCCCCAACTTTCAGACTAATGCCCTAGGTCACATATACACATGAGAGTATCCTGCTCCAGTTCTCACCTGCTAAAAAATATGAACGTTAAAATGTAAACATTTGGAATAAAATTGGGGGAGAAACCCAAAATAAGTCATTAAAAAAATGTACAGCGGTGAGCGTTGATTTACTTTATTCAGAGCCACCAACTGTACAAACGACGAGCGTTTACTCATGTGCAGACGGAGTTGAGCATGGACATCACGGGGCAAGAGGAGGACTCGCACGATTCTCGCGACGCTGCAGACGGTGGATCCGTCACCGGGAAGGAGGACAACGCTAACGGTGCTATCGACGAGGGACAGCAGCCGGTGCTCAATGGTCCGCTGGGCGGGAATGCCGATTCCATCATGGAACTGGACAGCGACACAGGCGAGCTTGACCAACTCGACGAATCTGCCATCCCCATCATTGAGGGTGAGAGCTAGGAGGCAAAGCTGGCCTCTTCTACTTGTCGCGGCCACGTTGTACTGGGTGTGTTTGTAAAAGATTAACGCTTTCCCGATCCGAGACGTCTGCAAATTGCAGGGTGGGTGAATCTCGAGTCGTTCAGCGAAAATTTTATTTCGAGAGGCGTTTTTAAATACATTTTACTCGCCTGAGAGAACTGTTGCGACACGACCGCACTTTACGAGAGCTGGCACCAAACTGTGCCACACTCCCTCCTGCTGCGTGGCCTTTTACGTCCGGTTCCGTTCCAATGGTGTGCCCGTACGTCATCGGAATGGAATATAAACTGATGACGTACACGTACGTCATGTACACGTACGTCATTGGAATGCAATAAAAACTGATGACGTACGTCATCGGAATGCAATAAAAACTGATGACGTACACGTACGTCATCGGAATGCAATAAAAACCGATGACGTACACGTACGTCATCGGAATGCAATAAAAACTGATGACGTACCCGTACTACACGTACGTCATCGGAATGCAATAAAAACTGATGACGTACACGTACGTCACATACACGTACGTCATTGGAATGGGAAAGGGTTAAACTGCTCGACCCGAGCCATTCATGCTTTGATATCTGCGTTGCCTTTGTTGCTGTTCGCCTTTTGGCGTCCTTTGGCAGCTAAAGGAGGCTGTCTCTGGTGTAGGCCAATTGGTTTCAAGGACAATGTATACATTATTATCAGAGCATGTTTGTTTGCATGTTTTACCACAAACATGATGTGTAGTTAATACAGACGTTGATGCCTTGTTATAGGTGTCTATTTGGTGTTTGAACATCTTCACACCTGTATTTTTGCACTAAAGGCTAAAGCCAATTCGTTTTTTCATTAATGTCCCGTGATTGATTAGGTCGTTTAAAATTGTTGCGTAGTTACAGTGCCACGGTCTAACACTTAGCATGCTGGATTAGCAATCCAGAGGTCGTCGCTTCGATTCGACCTCCCGGCGTGGAAATGAATGCAATGGTGCAAGTTTATTACTTCACGCGCACACCGCCTCTCGTCCCCGCAGCAGTATATATACGTACACAACAGTCGATTGGCAAGTTGAAAGTGTGGGTACTTCCACCTCTGCCAAGATGTCTGGCCAGCTGGGAGAGTGGGCCAAATGCCCTCTTGAGGGACTCTGTAGATCTCCCTCTCGTGGTGACCTTCTGCCAGCAGTGGTGTTAGCAAGCATTTGCAGGGATGCGCCTTTCACCTATAATTATTTAACTAATGTAACACTCTATACCATTCCGACTGTCTTCACGGTATGTTGCTTTCTTTTGTCCACAACACAATATGAGAATAGCAAAGCATCATTTAACGTATTAAAATTTACTCTCATGCCGTAGATGCATGTGTTAAATCACGCATGTACAAGGATCATATTTACGATTTATGGGTATATACAGTTGTTACATATTTTTAGACTAACGGAGTAAACAAAACAATGCAAACGAGAGAGAAAAAACAAGAATACAAGCGTGACTGTAACAGATAAATACATTTTTACCTAAATCAATGACCGTGAATCATGGTGGTCGTCCATCAAGTCACTGGCGACGGGGGGGGGGGGCATACGGAGAAAAGTGTAACATTTCTAATCTCCCCTTGAATTCTGTCTCACTTCTAACTGAGAATTGTCATTCGGTGGACTCCTGTTTGGCCAGAGTAAAGAAATTGACCGTTTTGATGTTTAACAGAAGCAGGTGAGGAAGAGGCTGACACCGAGGTGTCTGGCGGCGGAGAGGCGAGCAATGGCAAGGCGGCGGAGGAGGAGGGCGAGGCTGACAGCCTGGCGAACAAGGAAGAAGCAAACCCGGCACGTTCGTCTTTGCCGCCTCTGGGTCCGGCCGCAGGTGATAACGGCGCCGACGATCGACTCGCAGAGACAATAAATGGAGATGCCTCGGCTTCCAAAGGTGAGTGAAATGACAAAAACTCAATACTATTCGTCGGTAAGACTGCCTTAAACAGGAACGATCATATAATGGACGATAGTTTAGGTGTAAGGCCCTTTTTGAAATGTGTGATGCTTTGGCGGTCGGTAGTGCACAAGTAAGGACAACTCAACACTAATGTCAAAATCGCTGCTCTCAAGAGTAAAACCTTTACAACTAGGCTTTTGCCCATCCAAGAACGGGTGTATTGCAGTAAATCTGAAACTTGCAAGCGAAAAGCAGAACGCGACGTGATATTAATGGCATTAATGCGTGTGCATTTTGTAAGGGCGCAGTGACACAGACCTATTTCATTTTAAGGTTATAATCCCTTGTTCATCACGACGTCCTTTTTACTTCGATGTCTCAATAGCGTTAGGGAGATCGCGTGACGTGAGGGTTCTGCCTTTGTAGTGATGGTTGTAAGTTGACGCCGAGGAGGGGGGAGGAGGCGCCTCGGCCCCCCATGTGGAGTGACGTCACCCGCTAATTATTATGAATGGGGGGGGGTGTCCATTTGTGGAGGACGTTACGAGGGGGGCTGTTCGATGTCGAGTGATGAGGGGTGAGGGTGCTCCATGTGGAGTGACGTCACCTGCTCATGATTATTGATGAGGGGGGGGGGGAGTACTCCATATTGAGTGACGCCGCTCGCTCATTATTATTAATGAGGAGGGGTAGGGGTGTCCATTTCGAGGACGCCACCTGGCCATGAATATTAATGAGTGGGGCTGGTCAATGTGGAGTGACGTCACGAGCATTAAGGACATTCCTGGGTGATTATAGCAGGTGTAGGTGACATTTCAGGCAACGGCCCTTCAAACGTTTGCTGTTAACGCAATATGACGCTTTTTGTAAACATTCTAAACGTCATTTGAAGTGACTCGGAGTTGAGCAATCTTAAAAAATATATACTAAAGCAGAGAGCTCAGCCACCAAGTTAGATCCTGTTGAGATCAGAAGTATATTTTGTGAGAGAGGGTGCGTTGGGTAAAAATAAACACGTCTCTATATTGAGAAATGCGAGGCACTCTTCACCATTGGTATTCCCGAACCATTCATGGAGATGGCACCATCCAAACAAAGGACCATAACTTTATTTCCCACCAAGTGGTCATCATTGTTTCGTGATTGCCCGAGTTGGCTGTGGGCAGGGGTTTTGAAGTAACAGTTTCACGACTGAAGTAACAGTTTTCTGACCTTGAGGTCTTCTGTTCAAATATATATAGGGAAGAAGTAAGTTGACATTGGTCAAAATTGAAGTCTGCGCTTTATATGTGACTGTGATGGTTTTGGTAAGATGTGAAATTGCATTCAGTTATGGTGTCACCTAAACAAATAGCGTTGATGAAGTTCAACCAAAATAACTTCTCATGTCCTTCCATAGCTATGGCTCAAGGGCACTAGACGGTCGGGGAGTGCTGTGAGGTGAGGAGAGAGTGGAATTTGATGGAATGGAGGGGGCTTGAGCCATTCAATCTGCCGTTGGGCAGAAAAACTTGAGAGGAGGGAGGTTTGTGGAGATCAAAATTGCGTCATTTCTTGTTTTTCTTTTTGAACCAATTGCAAGATAATACCATTACCTACTTTCTTTCACTTTTGGATGATGGTCTTTCCATGCTAATAAGCTGTCTGTCATCTTATTTAGCTGTAGCTTCATCCTGGACCATGTGACTATAAAATGGTAAGATGTTGACTTTATAAAGGTTATTGATATTTGTGAGACTTCATTGTTCAAGAGCAGTCAATTGACAATGTTATTGTTTTTAGCAGCTGTCCAAAAATATTTCAAAGTAGATGATTACTTAATGTCAGCATACGCTGAGTCAGCGTGAAACGCTAAAAGCAGATGACAAGGATGGCCCAATATGCCCCATTTTTTGGCGTACAGCCAATTTTGTTTGCACTCTTCCCACACAGCTGATGCGCTTTGTAATCACAATCCATTCATTTCGTTTTCGCGTTGATGGAGCTACAGATGAAAGGATGGAGATAAAGCAATTGTATGAGGTTTTCAGTGGCATGACCCAGTTCCCACCTGTCTTTGATGAAATGGGTGAGGCATTCACAGTTTTTTTTTTACAATTTGGCACAATTCATGTTCTTGATGCAAGGCATTTGAAATCATGGATGAGGGTGGCTTGATTTAAAACAAGACAAATTCCACGTGATTTGCAGTTTTCCCTCCCCGTTTGAATGTGTGTGTTTTCAGACAGAAATAATACATTGTGATGAATATCACTGGGTTCAAAGGAGAGGATTCATGTTTCATGGGTTAGCATCTTTTCACTAATTTAAATGCATTTAGATTTGAATGGCTCACTTTGTATGTGTGTATGCCGAATTTATTTTGCACCATACGTAGCCAACCGTGCGAATCTGAGGTTGTGGCTCTTGTATTAACAACTAAATCTGGATTCTGTGTCACTCAGTAACAGAGGACCGTTGTTAATATTGTGACCAAAGCAAATAGCATGTTGTAATTTAAAAACTAATCTCGTAAAAAAAACTACAAATCTGTTCAAGAGTTTAATTTGATGGAGAATTATTATACGGTAACAATAGTCCATTATACGTTTGCCAGCCCGAAAGCCCTGGTTTTTGAAAGGTTTACTGCCCGGCTAAAACTGGTGTGCGATAAATATAAATGAATACGTTTATTTGTGTGCACGAGCTCATTCAGGATGGATGACGTTGTTTTGTCCCTGCTACAAATTGTACAAAATTCTGCTGGAATTTTTTTACAAATGTATGCAATTTGTTCACGTGATTCTACTTCTGACATCGCTACACTTTCTCTGAGATTGTTTATCAAATAGATTTCAAGGTTCAGCTTTTAGTTTGCAAGGCTCTAAGTTGATCTTACCCAACTGAGGTCCCTGATAATGCACTACATTCACAAGATGTGGGACTATTATCTATACTCGGAGTGACATAACTTTACCTTATCCTCATAAACTTGGAAAAGCCTTTCTGCCCTCAGTAACATTTTCAAATTTAGTATATGTTTTTAATCAAGCTAAAGCGATTTGCTTTTTTTGGCCCCTCTCTCCCGATACTTTCCATTCATTGGCTACCACATTCTGATGAGCCCCCCCCCCCTCTCCTCCCCCCTCAACTCGCTTTTAAGGGATTACATCTTGAATCATTGCCTCACTTGATCCAGCTGATCTGGCTGTGACTGTCCCACCTGATGACGGAGACTTGTGTTGCCTCCGAAACGTCGTGATCTTTATTTTATTTTATTATTTTTATTAATTTTGATGTTTTACCTACGTGACTTTACCGAAAACACCTAAGAATATGATTCCTTGCAGTCACGAAAGCTTAAAGTCTAGAATTAATAACATTAACTTTGGCATCAATGAGCTGATTATGTAGCTGGTTTTAGTTTTTGTAACTACTGGGAGTGCAACTATATTCCCCAGTCATGGTGAGATGAATTTTCACAATTCAAATCGTTTATATTATTTTACTTTGTGGGGCATTCAGTATTCTAGTGGCTGTAGGAGGTATGAGAAGAAAAATAGTAAAAAGTAAGCATTACGCTAGCCTGCTTTGGAGAGAGTGAGCATTATGTTTTAAATAGAACCCCCGTAAGTTAAAGCAGTGAATTAAAAGACCCTCGGGAGATTGAAGTGGAAAAGAGACCCCCAAGCAGGATACATTCTAGCAAAAAAAACTATCATTACTCACGCGTTCACCATTTGCCATAGAAATTCTGTCACTTCAACACGTCACAGTGATTTCGTGTGATTTGATAAGGTCTCTACACTCGGGCAACATCTGCTCCGGTTCACATCACTCTGATCCATGGCGCTAGCAAATCTAAATTACCGACTGTTCACAAAGCTTGCAGTAGGTGCCTGACATCTTTAAAGGGGCCCGTGGAATCAACCACAAAAAAAAGTAGTCAATTACACATTTAGCTGACTATTCGTCCCAGCTGTAATCGCTACAAGCCTCTTACCTATACGTTACAGTTGTATTGTTAAGCACTAAAGAGGTTTTTGCTGAAAAATCAAGATCAAGATGTCAGAAAGGTCACGCCATTGACAGCACCACCGCCCGCCAACGCTTCTACCATCGGTCAGATCCTGCAGCTGCTGCAGAGTAGATAAGCGTCCTCCAAAATCTGCAATAACAGTATCCCACAATCTGCTCTTAGGTCTTTCCCCTTGGTCACCAGGCTTCTGGAGGTCATTGAAAAGTGCTATATGAATGTGATGTTGTGCCACTGTACCCAGATGCAAAAGCCTTGGCAGATGAGAAGGACGATGCCTCTCGAAGCCAGCGTGCTCAGATGGAGCAGCAGAGGGCAATCGATGCTCAGAAGCTTCACCAGGTGCTGGAGGAGCCAGTGCTACCAGTCATTGTCGATAGAGACAAACTGCAGGTGTGTATCGACCGTCCCAGTTTCCTGGTTATGTTTCGCAACGTTTTTCTGCAATGAACCAGATAGTTGCACACTCACCAGCTAATACACTGCAGGTATGAACTAAACATTTTGACCTTTCAATTGTGAAACAGAAGCACTCGTGAATGGCATTGGCCAGGTGGTTCAGATGAGTAATGCCACGTCAGAGAACATTTAGTCGTCAAGCCCCAGTTCATATCTGGGTTTCAGCCACCCTTGTTTAAATTGTGCTCTCAAGTATAGCGAGTTGACAGCTTGTCACAAATAACTGAACAAAAAGAGAATGAGTTTTTTCATGTCATTTTACTTATTCCATCTCGGTGATTAAAAAATTTGTGATTTTATTGAAATGTGATAAACACACTTTGTAGGTTTTAATACTTTAAGCTTAATAAGGTTAGCTTTGTATTATGGCTTTTGTGATGGCAAGTGGACATATGGCTCCATTGGAGCCATGCTGTTCATTGTGATGCTGTCTTACATTGGCAGGCGAGAGGAAAACTGAATATAAAACCAACGTCGTAGAAGACAGATACACGGTGTAATACGGAGAGATAGGTTTAATAAACAGCATTAGATTTAGCCGAGTGTGAGTGTAAGGTTTAGACTTCCTAAGATACAGTGCGCGAGTAGCAATACAGAGATGGGTAATGACGTATTTTCAGAATAATATTGCAAATGGCCATGCATTGTAAAAGCACTGTATTTTGAGATAGCCAAGTGAATTAAGGGGTCAGAACACTGAGCCTTTACCGCTGATATTGTGGATTTAATTCCAGACGGCCGCCTGTAATTAAGCCAGGTTTTCAAGTGCTGCAAATTGACAGTCCCCTAAAATTTGACTCATTGCCGATCCTGGGAATTAAACTGTTGCTTTTTTTTCGTCATGCGACAAACATTGTATGCATGCCATATCAAAACTCTGTGCTTTGTGTGAATAAAACGTCAAATTGCAATAACCCGACAAGGTGGTCCACTATTAGCTGTAAGATTTCCGAATGGAAATTTCTCAACGTCTTGTGACGCAATATTGCTAAAGGACAATTGTGATAATTGAGATAAAAATAAATGGCTAAGAAAATGTTCATTAAAGCCTAAATCATTCTTGTGAATAATTGAGAAGTCTTTGAGGCTCTACTGGATAAAGGACTGAACTGGTTATGCTATTAATTCCGATGTAATTCATGACTTCCTGAAACCCCGTGCCACGTTAAAGAAAGGCACTAATTACTGGGTGCAATCCGTGTTTTTATGCTTGTGTGTGCGTGTGGCGGTGCGTTTGCTGGCAGGCCTTGCTGGACCGTGTGGTGACACGGACCGACGCCTCTACGGTGGAGGAGCTTGAGAGACTTTATGCCATACTGAGCCAGTGCGTTTACAACCACCGCAGGGAGAACAACAAGATGGCACTTGTACAGGTGAGCCCTGCCGAACGTACGCTCACTGGGCACGCGATGGAGTCGCGAAATGTCACAATTTTTGGCAACACCAATTTGTCATCTCGTAGTTTCTGCTTCATTTGTGCGGTTACGTTTGCTCCATTCGGCTAAATGTTGCATCAGCCCTTAACTGACATTATAAATTGCGTAATACGATTGATTCTCACGCGTGATTCCACATATGCGACGAGAACATGTGACTGGAATGCATCGTTATGTGATTTATGCACATCACGTTCAAAAGCCTTACATTTTATTTCTTTAATTGTAATAACAGTCAATAATTTGCGTTATTTTTCTGGTTTTCTTTTTTCTATAGTGTTTGCATTCCATTTTACCCCTGGACTTTGTAATTTCTCTCATTGTGTTTCCTCTTAAGTCCATTGTTAAAGATTTACGCTTTAGCATTCATTAGGTTATCTGGTTAAAATAAGTTATTGGTCTGGAAAGCATTCCTAATATGTTGTTTTATTTCAATTCAAACTGATATGAATCAGGTTCTGCATCTCTCTCCATGTTTCTTCATTTTCACATGGAGATGCTGTACGAACACAAATTGTATTTCACCGTGTGCACCGTTGAGTGGAATTTTAATTTGCCTTTCATTTTCCTCCCACTCTGCACGCCTCTTTCGATTCTCTTGCTTCCTTCTGTGGTCCTTGTGTCGATCAGGAAATGGAAAGCGAGGTGGAAACATTCCTTTCAGGAAGAGCACATGGGACGGCACTTGAGACTGAGCGGTGGACGGATGCCTTTCGCGCACGGGTTCACAAGTAGGGTGCTGTATGTACAGGGTTATGCATGTGAGCACTCTCTTGTCTTGCGAGCAGCCCATAATTATCACCATCTTCTCAAAGATTGGGCAAGAGGTTCCCTCGGTTCATCTCATCCCCTCTCACCTGACTTTTTACACCGTAGCGAGAAAGCATTTGAAATTTTAAACGTGTTCGTCAGCCGGCATCGCTGTTGTTGTGTGTTTCAGGCTTGGGCAGCCGCATGAAATTTAGACCCAATTTCTCAAGCATAATGCATTCATTGTCTTGACTTGGTCACCAATGACCGCACAAAATTGGCAATATGATAAATTGGCGTGGGTTGACATTTGTGTGTGATGGCAGGCGTTGTGGTGCACCACTATACAGGCGTAACATCTAGTGTTGGGTAAATGAGGCATCTCAAAAAAACTTGGAGGTAGCTTTGTGATATCATTTCCAAAACCGGTCTGTGGTAATCCACTGGCTATAGTTAGGTGTCCCTGAAGGACTATGTTCGCCCAGTGCCTTGACTATATTAGCATAGTTTAAATATAATTGGTTAAAACAGTATTAAATATACATGTGGATAAACTAAATCTAACTACCCATCTGCATTAAACATGAGTGTACAGGTTGGTGTTCCATCTACCTTTTGCCCTTCTCCCATGGTGCACTTTGAATGTTCATGGTGATAATTATGCCCTGTACAAGCTCGCTTGAGTGTACTGCTGTAATAAAATATATAACGGGTATTGCGTTGATCTTGACCCCAAACTAAGATCTCTTGGTGACTGTTTCTTGAAATTTATACGATAAAAACAAGAAAAAAAACATTAAAAAAGGATAAATTAAAATAAAAAGTTTTCAAAAGTCCAGTGTATTTATGGCAAATTCTAAAAAAAAATATATAAAAATGTTAAACATCTTTCCAGTTTTTTTTTTTATTGATGGTGCTGCCGTCAACATCTCAGGTAACCTTGCACAGCTGGCAAGCTTTGCCATTCAGGTCATGAGCCTTTAAATGGAAATACTTGTCTCCAACAGTGAAATGTCACCAAATAAAAACTACTGTGGTGCTTAAAAAAAAAATGTTAAAGGATATGAATAAAAAAATTCAATCATTACAAGCCATTGCTTTTGCAAGGGCCTTTTTGCCATCAACATGCGAAACGAAGTGAGGATTTTGAGGCAGGTTTCATCTGATTATCCTTGACAAGTGTTTACAGATTTAACCGGGAAGCCTCATACTTTTCACTCTTTAGCGTCATCTCCCATCGTGCGTCTTGGCTTTTGCGTGGAATAACCTCTGTTGGTGAGAAGGGTGATGCTGCTACTACTACTTTGCCATCAGTGTTTTATTTTTGTCCGTGGTGCTGTGTTGACTTTCTATTTTTTGTTCCAAGTCTCATTTATGGACAGTTTGCTTTTTGACGAACATTCAGCACCATCTTGTGTGGAAAAAAATACGAATATTATATTCCTGGGGAAAAAAAGGTTTAACTACAAATTAAATTTAATTACCAGGGGTGTAACAATTGATTAGTATTGCTTCTTAAGTGGCACAATGCATGCATTGTATCGCATGAGAATCAATGTTTTTCAATCCATATGTTTTAAGTAATGCGTTTTACAGGAACCCCTGCAAGTCACTAGTGACAGCTGCATTCACCACAATGTTTTAAACAAAAAAAGTAATCGATCCTAAGAGTTGAAACAGAAAAATAACCTGAATCGTGACAATACATCAAATCGCCGAGGAGGGGGGGGGGGGAAATGTTGTTAGTGAGTGACCAATATGCCCTATAGAGCTGGAACTGGAAGCAGTAGTGTTTTATAAGAAGTTTGATTCAGATATGCTGCCCGTGTAATTTACATGGAAATCCTGCGAGCAAGCTTAGTTCAAACCCGTTGTGTTGTCACTGTGCGGCAAGATATGGAAGGGATTTAATCATGGGCTTCTCGGATTGAATCGGTGGCTGCTGAAAAGCACTACTGTCATGCTCGCAATTGAGACTGGTTAAGATGACTTAAATTGAGACATGTGCATTTGCGTTGGTTGGACTTGTCTGCCTCAGTTTCACAAGCTCAGGGGCTTCCTTTATTTAATTTAAATGGCCAATGTCATAAAGGATTTATCAATTGCTTATTCCTTGAGGCAGTTTCGACTGCTTCTGAAACACTGTTTTAATTTAATTACGAGAGCATATATTCCCCCCGGCACTAAACCTGTCAGTCAATTTGTCAAACGTGTCTTTGTGTTGTGCTTTGTATTTTGCTGCAGATATCTTTGTAAAAAAAAAGCAGCTGGTGTTGTTTGCATGTGTTTGCTTACTTTCTCTATGCCTTTTTTACGTCAACTAATAAAGAAAAGTTAAAGACTAACACACGCTCGTGGTAAAATAACTCTCGTATGATTTTTGCCTTGGGGTCTCATATGCCATGAACATGGACAGGCAACCCAATGCCTCCAGGTCCAAGCTCTCTTCATGGCATTAAACTTTTTGGCAAATATAACAAGAGGTGGTGACTGCAGTGGAAGGGATGGCCCATAAAGTTGGTGGTGGGGGACGCTGTGTCCATGGTGTAGAATGTAATTGATTTAATTTACTGGTAGTCCAAACCACATGTACTCGATGTAGTTAAAAAAAAACAATTCTAGCATTCCTAAACAAGTGTTACGTCACTGGTTTGCAGAGGTGTGGACTCGAGTCATGTGACTTGGACTCGAGTCAGACTCGAGTCATGAATTTGATGACTTCAGACTCGACTTGGACTTGCATAACAATGACTTTGTCCCACCTCTGAGGTGTGGACTCGAGTCATGTGACTTGGACTCGAGTCAGACTCGAGTCATGAATTTGATGACTTCAGACTCGACTTGGACTTGCATAACAATGACTTTGTCCCACCTCTGCTGGTTTGGTTTAGACATTTGCAAAGCTGTGTCTTTGGTTACATTATCGGTAACTCCGTAAGACTTGCCTATGGGTGCACACCGATCTGGCAAGTGTGGTCACCATACACAACTTTTGTATTCATGTTCACGCGAGGAAGATCTCCTTCTCTATGATTAAATAAAACCTTACACGAAAATAGATTAGTCTCCCTTCCATCCAAACAGCTGTCAGTATTCATGACGGCTGCATATCCTGACTGCTGTTGACCTACTGTGCACATCTCATTTCAGATATCTGATGAGTGCTCAAACACAATTTAGGTTCCTTGTACATTGATTAAAACTTATGGGGCTATTTATTTGCTTGTATCACCTATATTTTTTATAGTTTTTTTTCCTCTCATTGCAATATAAGACCCTTTCAAGGTGACTTTTTTTTAGTTTTAAATTCATCCAAGGGCAGCTTTAATACAAAAACTATAAAATAATCGAATCAGCATTGTATTTTGCCTGGAATTTTATATTGTACAGTAGATTTCGATTTTTCCATAAGGATCCCCTTTGCATGCTTGATATTCTGACAGGTTGAAGCCGATTTTACTTATTTAGAATGCTGCTCATTGATAGGACAAGTGTGCACTGTATGAACATTGCGTAGCCATATTTGCTGGTGTATATTTGTTTTTTTTTGTCACGTTTCCTTTTGTAAGTACAGTATTTCAAAAACCTCTGCTGTATAAACGCTATCTGGCCACGACAACTTGAAAGGGTTTTGCATTTTTTGTTGTTCCCCGTTATGCATCAATGGATTTTATGTGATTCAATTTCTGCCGTGCTTTGAAATTATTAGAATGGGGGAGGTGGAAGGCAGTTCTTTTTTAACGCTTCAGGAGTAAAATTGTCCATTTTGATAAACATAGGCGTGTGTTTGATCTTTTAGCATTTATGGGGTGAACAGTATTTGTGGGAAAACATTGCATTCGTTTCTTCTGGGTTAATGTAAAAAAAAATCCTCTCTCTGATGTATACACACGTGCGCAAGATAAACTTTGGATCTTGTTGAAATAAATAAAATAAAGCATTTTCTCAAGAATATGTCGGGATTATTTTGAAGGATGTCAGAATAATAATGGAGCACACTGAACATGTTTTGCTTTTCATTGGTGTGTCGTACAAACAGCTTTTGACGCAATGTTTAATCCTTGCTGGTATGTACAGTTTGCACATGTCAACATTCATAGTGATGTGCATGTCACAAAGCGTTAAGCACATTGTATTGCTGTATATATATTGCTGTTACAAGCTTTTACAACAGCCATTAACACCGTACTACAAAATAAACATATCTTCTATAGTATTTATATAAAACATTTAACAAAACTACAAACATCCCTCTTCACAAGATATTAAAAATGTACACAAAATCTGATAGTGAATTAGCAGTAGAAGATTCTTTTAAAAAAAGTAATATTGTGTTTTTTTTTACTGTGTACCAGTCACAAACGGTGCCATATTGTCACATCCCACTGATATACACATAAACGTTTACTTTCCATTACTAGTAATTATGTAGCCAAAGAGCACAAAGGCATATTTAAATATCGCAAAAGGCGTAGTTTCGGTCATCGCAGCAGCTAAAGGAAACTGCAGAATACATTACACAATAATTAGTGCGCTTCGGTTAAGTCAATCAACCCCACTTCTCACAAACTCCGACAGATGGACATGACCAACCAAGTAGAGTTAGCACGACATCGCTTCGCGTAAAAGTGAAATCGACAGCGCAACATTGCTGCTGCTGCTGCTCAGCAACGTAAAGCAAGTGCTCACACAGCTTGCGGTCACTGGCTACGAGAGAAGGACACGGGGGTGCGAGCTGGCGAGTGCCCATAAGACAAGACCGAGAAATCCCAATTTTACACCACATCACCAATCTTTTCAGCCTTGCGCAGACACGACAATAATGTCCGGTGATGGGAGGAAATTGAAATGTTTTATTTAAATTGCCGCAGGATTTGTCCATCCCGCTGTCGTTTGTTTTTTGTTGCGCGCGTTTGTGTTGGCGAGACGTACATAGCGGATGTCTGGCCTCTTAACGATTCGCGCAGAGATTGCGGAGTGCACGGGGACCATGGCTAGGGCTCGGATTGAGTGGATGTGACATTCATTTTCCGAGCCGGATAATCTCGACACCAATACAATGACGTGCGGGGATGACAAGTTCAAGGCTTGACTCGTCGGAACACATCTTGCGAGTGGAAGGACGTTAATACTCGCCCTATATCGAGTTCTATTTTCAAACACGGGGCATTGTCTGCTTTCATTCCTTTGATATTGCATTCCTCTGATGTCTTTTGCCACTGCGCACAGGGCCCACGGTGAAACCGTGCCGTGTTGTTTTGATGCGGTAGGGGCACTGGGACGTGTGGGAAGCTCCCGCCGTGTGCGGAACGCTTCTGCGTTACTCGCCGTGCGCGCCTGTGCGACGTGCGGACTCTTTCGTTAGTCCTCATCAACTCCTAGGGTTTCCCAGTGCGAAGCTACTGACACGATTTACACCTCGGCACTCATTGGCCAAACGTTGCGCGCTCGTTTCGGTGCGTTGCAGCATCGAAGCAAATTCGTCCTCAAAAGGCGTTGCATGCACGCGATTGATTTTTTTTCGGGATGCACCAAGCTACATAGCCATTCCAAATTGTGCTGTGTGTGTGTGCTGTATAGATATAAGTGTGGGTGTGTATGCATCGTAGATGTGTGGAAATAGATTTGGTGAAACTAGATCTCGTTAAAAATAATAACATTCTGTATATCGGCTTAACAAGTAAAACCAGCTCTAGACGGAGTCCTTTGTATTACGGAATACGCTTACAAGACCACCGTGCCAACGTAAAGACGTGGTGCTGAAATTGGGAACACATGTCTTTCTAGATTTGAAGCTTTCGTGACTGCAAGGATTCATATTCTTAGGTTTTTTTCGGTAAAGTCACGTAGGTACAAAATTAATAAAAGTAAAATAAAATAAAAATCACGACGTTTCGGAGGCAACACGTCTTCAGGTGGAACCGTCACAGCACGATTGCTGTATCAAGTATTTTATTTTACTTTTATTAATTTTTACTTTTTTACCTACGTGACTACCGAAAAAAACCTAAGAATATGAACACATGTCCTGTCTCGCTCAGCCCCTGCATCCTGGAGTAACAGATGTCAGAGCCTTAAGGTTGAGTTTTGACATTCCAGCATTGAAGCGCATGCGCTATAATTGTGTCAAAATGGAGACAGCCACAGATGGAGCCTACCCCCTGGCCTGTTCCACTCCCGACTCTGTAGACAACGCGTGTGTCTGAACCACCATTGCACATTACACACGGCCGCACGTCTACCGTAAAAGATGGTACGAATAGTTATATTTGTTAAAGTTTATTTTGCTCTCTCAATATGTATATACTGTATATCGATATATAGAGTGTGTATAAATATAGTGTTTTAAAAAAGAAGTTCCACTTCATCTCAACGCTGTCCATCTCGCCCAACGTTCTTCTTTTGCCGTTAAGCCGCAGAGTCTTCCCCCCCCCCACGTCCCGCGCGTCATCTCCCACAAAATCTGAGAATATTCGCGGGGAAGCTGCTCCAATTGTGCAAAACTGCACGCGGGCGGGCGTTGTAAACCGCTAGCGCCCTCTCCCCACCGCCACCCCGGGCCTGCCAGCGACGACGGTGCGAGCGGCAGGCCGTCACGCCGCGCCTAGGCGCTGGAGTGCAGCAGGTTCTTCTTGATGACGGCGCAGCCGTGCCGGTAGACGGGGCCCGGCAGGTTGGGAACGACGGTCCAGCTGTTGGTCTGCGGGTCCAGCACCTCCATGCTGGCGAGGCCGGGGCCGTCGGTGCTCGCCGCTCCTCCCAGTACGTAGATCTTGCCGTCGAGCACCACGGCGCTGTTCCGACGGGGGGAGCGGGGGAGCGAGTGAGAAGCAAGGGGCGCGTTTAGGGCACGCTGACGATCTGCTGCTGCTGCTTTACGGCGGCCGCGTGGCGCGGAGAGGGCCGAACCAGCACTGCTGAGACCTTATCTTAATCCGAAGGTGCTTGACAATTCTCACGGTGCACGTACGATGATGGTGGTCAGAGTAAAGATTCGGGCTGCTATTAAAAGTGGACAGGCGGGAGCGGTCAAGGAGGGGTTGGGGGTCGGCCTGGCCATAGATTCTCGTTTCGTGACCTCGCACAAAACCAAAAAAAAGTTACTTTTCGATTTAAAGCTTTCGTGACTGCAGGGATTCATCTTCTTGGTTTTTTCGGTAAAGTCACGTAGAAAGGAAATAATAAAATAAAAAACAAAATATTTTATTATGTTTTATTTTTATTATTTTAATAATAATAAAAGAATAAAAATAAAAATAATATATTTTTTTCCCTTCTACGTGACTTTACCGAAAGAACCAAGGAGAAAAAGTTACTTGTGCGTTCTTAATTCGGCAAAGATTACAGCTCCGGGAATGCTGATGTGTAGCTCTGCACAGATAGATTCAAGAATCAAATTGCTGTGCTGCTATCTCCTGGTCACGTTGCAGCCAATGCCAACAATCTCTGGGTATTGGGCAGTGTCCCCTTCTTCAGCGCTCATCACGCTGAACCCTGCTTAACGTCCAGGATCTGACGTGATTTGATGTACTAATTATATTTTTTTGCATTACAATGTTTGCATCGCTTTCTCAATGCCTTGGCGCTCACCCCAAAGGGGCTCGCATACAAACGAAGCCAAGGTCGTTGTCTTAATGGGCTCTTCACTGAGCAATGAAAGGGCGAGTTGTCATTCGCCAAACCACTCCGTGTTGGAAGCAACGATGCCCAGGGGGGGTCAAACAGCGCCTCACTCTTGAACTGAACGAGGAAGGTGAAACGGAGCTTGTTTGTGCCTTGATGCACGCAAGGCGACCTGGGAAGCGTGCCCTCATCGCCGCACAAATTAATCCCTTTTGCTCTAAATCATGGCTGGAGCTCTGTCACCTGATCGGTGATTGTGCCTCCCGACGTATTGTCATTATTCCATGATTCACACTGCTGCCCTGAAGATCATCTCTGCTCCCTCTGTCTTGCATACAACAAAAAAATTTCCCCTCTCTAACAAAAAAAGCTGATCTTGTACAATTTCTGGAGATGTCCTATTTTATTTTCTTTTACAAATCCAGGTTGTCATGTCTGTCAGCTTTGGCGGACCTCATTAAGGAACAATTCAACTCCGCTTGGGGTTTTCCTTTAAGCTGCCGTGTGCAGCCGATGATTTGTATCAAGTTATGCGATTTTCGAATGCGACGTGGTTCCGGTGTTAAGCTAGGAATCAGTCCCCTTGCTAAGGCCAGTGTCTGCAGGACAAAAGACAAAGATCCCCCGTGTAGCCTTAACAGACTGTTGGCAAGTGCTGTTAGCGTGCACCTATGAAGGCTAAAACGACACACGATGGGGTGGGTGGCCAGCACCACACCCGACCGCCTTTATTTCCCGAGTGGCGATGTTTTTACATACCACGCTAGGTAATCATTTGAGGCTGAGTCGACCTACGAGAGGCCCAGGATCGGTTTGGATAATATATTCATCACTGGTGTTAGCCACGAGCGGGAATCGAACTTAGGTCGCCGGGTTCGTAGTTCAGCGTGCTAACCGCTACACTACCGCTCCCCACTGCAGGACAACAACAACAGCCATTCACTATTAAGTGGCGGTGACGTCACCAGGACGCTTGTGCCAGGCTATGTGCACCTTGAGGCCACGTGAAGTGTTGAATGCCCGCTGGCAGGAGGTCACGGGGCAGACCCAGGTGCCACGGGTCGACTGACTGAGATGACTGAGATGACTGGCTGACACACACACGCGTGCACTGTGGACACACCTACTGAACTGGCGGTTGAAGTGCATGTTGGGTCCAGACTTGATGTTCTCCTTCTCCGGGTCGTAGATGGTGGTGGCGCGGCTGAAGGCGCCGCCGAGAATGTAAATCAGCTTGTTGAGCAGAATGGCCGGGGCGTACTTATTGTCTGCAGGGGGGTGGGGGCAGGGGGAAATAAAAACCACCGAGAAACGTTTAGCCTTTCCCAAACAGCCCCGTATTCCATTTGGCTCGCTAATTGGCACATTCATCTCACGGCGCCGATCGTGACGGCAAGAACAGCTGGCGTTCAATTATCGCGCGGTAAATGTGGTTAAACGCGTTGACATAGGCAGTTTGATTGTTTTTTTTAGGGCGGTTTGTGTGAACCTACAGAGTGAGCGAGGAGGCAGCATAATGCGCATAAATGCCGTGTGTGAACACACGCGCGCGCGCGCGTGTGTAAATATACGCGTGTAAATATGTCCCAAATTTCTTTTGGGTTTTAACGTCTTTTAGCGATAGCTCGCCGAGCGGGAAATGTGACGTGAAACCACCGGCCACGCGGCGTGACGATGGCGCCACTGTCATGCGAATAGTGAAAACGCTTCGGTTCTGCTGCCGTTCACCAGCTGTGGATTTGTTCGTCTTCATGGGTTAGAATTTTTCGGCACCCAAGTCGGGAATCAAACCCGGGGGGGGCCCTTCTTGCTGTGAGGTGCAAGCATTACCGCTGCGCCCCGACCCTCCTTCCCTCCCACCCTGCCACCCTCCCTGCCGCCCTACCGATCATGGGCGTCTCGATGAAGCTCCAAGTGTTGGTGCGCGGCAGGTAGGACTGCATGACGTTGGCCGAGCGGCCGGTGTCCCCGGCGCCGCCGAACACGTACACCTTGTCGCCGTGGACGGCGGCGGCGGCCGAGTGGACGGCCTTGGGCAGCGGGGAGAGAACCTCGCAGCGGTTCGTCTGAGCGTCGTACCTGCCCGCGAGAGAGCGCCGGGCCCTCGGTGAGACACGGCGTAAGGGCGGGGGGGAACTCTCGGCACATCATCGGTGGGCCACAGCAGGCAATGGGCACCGCCCGACAGTGCGTACGTACGTACGTTGAACTTCTTTTGCACAGTTCGTAGCCAACCGCGCTAATCGGAGGTGCGGCCGGGGAAAGGACAACAAACTGAGCACAAAAAACTTTTTTAACAAATGAGTTCGTCAATCTAGATGATGATTTAAAAGTGCATGGCCCCAGTGGCATCCTAATATCAGAAGGAAGAGCGTTCCAGACGGCCGCAGGTGCATTAGCTAGCCAGCAAAGAGCGGCTGTGAGGATGAGCGTAGTTCCCGTGATGGTTTCACGGCACAGCAGTGGCAGGAGCAGTGGCCGCTTCGCCATCGCCGGGCGCGACGACGTTCCGTCACACCTCTCGCAGTGGCCCAGGTTGCCCGCGGCGCCCAGGCCGCCCAGCGAGTAGATTTTCCCGTCGGCGACGAGGCCGCTGTGGCGGCAGCGCGGCACGGCAGTGCGCGCCACCAGGCCCCACGCGTCCGTGCCGGACGAGTAGCACCAGATGTCGGGCAGGATGACGCCTCCCTCCACGCCGCCTGCAGTGACACACGGTGGGAGTGGCAGGGTGGCAGAGTCCATGAGCGCATTATCAGGTGTCTAAAATAAAGACTATAAAGATTTGTATTTTTTAAATCCTTTATATTAAGTTCGCTTGCTTGCTTGCTTGCGCGCTTACGACCGTGCAAATATTTCGGTCGTTTTTTAACCCACTTCCCGTGATCCAATCGAGCTGAAATTTTGCACACAGACTCCTTGTGCGTGACAATTTATTTTCGTGAAAATTTTTTTCCAAAATATTCCACTTTTTAGGAAAAAAAACATTTCATATTTAATTTAAAATACCAATGTGATAAAAATGAAACTCTTACTCAAGAAAAACAGAAATGAATAATAAAATAAAACCGATGCCACGCATATAAAGGATTTATAGTGAATAACTTTGTTTTTACGGGTGAATTTTTTATTATTTTATTATTTCCCTTCTACGTGACTTTACCGAAAGAACCAAGAAGATGAATCCTCTCGTTCTTCACCAAGCACCCGTCGTTGCCAAAATTGCCGTAGTCATAAAGAAAACATTGAAACTTTGATGAGCGCATCGTGTAGAGCTCGTCGAGAGGAATAGATTGCCGTGTCGTTCGCCTTCAACAGACATAGAATGACGTCGCAACGCAGTTCATGCGAGAGCCGGGGGCTTCTGGGACCCCGTGGTCCCGCCATAAGGTTCAACTAACCACCCTACGTTAAGGGAGGTTCGTTTCGTTTTTTTTTCATGCATCGTACAAAGCTCACCTCGGCGCCGCAATTAAAACACCACGCAGATGCTAGCGGGGGTAACAAAAAAATGTCAAAAATATTAAAGAATGAAAGAAAAAACACTGAGCAAATTAAACGCGCGGGCATGCGCACTTGAACACGCGGACGCCAGACGCCAATTAGCTGTTGTCAGCGCCCGGGGTTTGGACGTCGCTTTCGCTAAATTCCAGAACAATTTCTGCGTTTTTTTTTTGTTCCACCACCTATAGCTGCTGTGCCGCTTCTGATGAGCACTTTGCGCGCCGTCGCCCACACCTGCCGGAGGTGTAAGGGAGAGATCGTGCGCACATCTGCGGGGACGTCTCGAGTGAAAATTAAACCAAACGTGCACGAAGACTGGGATTTTTGCACACAGCGTTGGTGTACGGTGTTTTATTCTGCAATATTTTGCTGTCTTTTCTTGGATTTTCTGTTTGCACTCAGTCACATATTCACTTTAAGATGTTTTTTTGTTCTTGTTTTTGTCTTTTGTTTGTTGCGGTTGCACCCGATTCAAGAGCCGAATGGCTCACAAGGCTATACCTAATAAATGAACTTGAACTTGAAGATGGCAGTTTTTATGCCGTTGTAAAAGTTCCAAGGTTCTTATTCTTAGGTTTTTTTCGGTAAAGTCACGTAGGTAAAAATAAATCATAAAAATACTAGAAATAATAATAGAAATAAAATAATGATTATTTCTATTATTTTTATTATTTATTTTTACCTGCGTGACTTTACCGAAAAAACAAAAGAGTATGAATCATTGCAGTCACGAAAGCTTCAAACCTAGAATTCCAAGGCTCTGCCAAACATTTAGCTCTCTCTGTGTCTGTCTGTCTCTCTGTTGTGCTGGGTGGGCGTTTCCTTTCCCGGCTCACGGCCGTAAACACCAGCGGCGATTGTCTACACCGGTCCTGGGCCTCCCCTAGGTCGACTCAGCCTCAAACGGGTATCCGGTGCGGTGTGTTAACATCGGTGCCGGCCACACCGCCCGCTCGTGTGCAGTGCCGGCCTTCATAGGCGCTCGCTGACAGCGCCAACAGCCCCCGTGCAGGCTACGTGGGGGGTGGACCACTGCCTCTGTCTCTGCCGTGCGTCTGCCTGCCCTGCGGATTTCACAAACAGATAGATGATGACACCCTCCGGCTGTCGGGCTACAAACAGCGGACAAAGATAGAGGTGGCGGGGGGGGGGGTTGGCAAACGATGGACGGAGGCGGAGGAGCGGCTCGGATTAATGACCTCACTTTGGGGTGGGGATTAGTCGGAGGCAGGTGAGGGGGGGGGGGGCAGCAGGGGGTAAAGCCTGGGCCCTTGAAGTGCAGAGGGAATTGATCGTACGCGTGCGCTGCCGCGCCTGCCGCGCCTGCCGCTTCCTTAAGGTGAATTGGGAAATCTATTAATCACAAGCTGCCCACGAGCCCTCTCCCGCCTGTGGCTTCAGGGCCTAATGATAATGTGTCAGTGGCCAAATTACATCCTGAGGTTGGTGCGCTGCCCGTACCAAGCACGGCTAAAGGGGGGTCAAACCTTTCCCGCAGTCCGACCGTCTCGCGACGACAAAAAGCCAGACTGATGCAGGCACGCAAACAGAGTCGAGCGTTTTTTCCGACGAGCAGACATCTCGGCTCTGGAGGTGCATCGGCCCGGCTTGGTTATCCACTGACAACCATCGCCGTCATCGGCTGCGATCAATCCAGCGGCGTTTGCGCAAAGTTTGTGCGAGCACGGGCCGATGACACCGACCCATTCGTCCCGTGCGACGTCAGCGGCACCGCTCTAAAATAAACTCTTATGAAATTTTTTTTTTATTTCACCAGGTAAGGGCCCACTAAAGCTCCGTAGCTATTTTTCAGAAGTGACCTGGACATCACAAATGACAGCTCAACGAAGTGGATTATCACGTGGACGGCAGCCAAATAACTCGAAACCAGGCGTCGGCAAACCTGCGGGGCTTGAAGTGACCGCTTCGCGATGTCATTTATCACGGACCGCCGTCTCGTTTCCACCACGTGCGTTGCGGCTCTTGAGATATTGAGGTAGTGGGGGAGGGGGGGGCGGTTGTTTTTTGTTTCCGAATTCAAAAAAAATAACTCTTCTTGTCATTTCGTTTGCCCTTTTTCAGAAGTGACCTGGCCACAAATGTCAGCTCAACAAAGTGGCTCGTCGTGTGGAAATTCTCGGCTCGGCTGTGGCGGTGGAAATTTTTTTTTCACGTAATAATAACAAATAATAAATAAATATTCCGTGCGGTCGGGGGGGGGGGGGCGGCGCAGTCACCCAGCACGTAGATGTTGTCGCCGCTGCCCACGACGCTGAAGAATTCGCGGTCGTAGAAGGGCGGGCTGGCGAGTGGGTGCCAGCGGCACGTGTGGGGGTCGTAGCAGCTGACGGCCGTGAGCGCGTGGTGGTTCGTGCCCTCCGCCTGGCGCCCGCCCACCAGCACGATCACCTCCGTCACACCTGCGCCAGCACGCGCGCACGCGCCAAAGACAAACGATTCCCCATTATGGGCCTTAACAGACTGTCGGGGCAAGGGCCATTAGTGATCAGCTATTAAGGCCAGCACGGCGCACGAAGGGGTGGTGTGTCCATTTTTTTTTATCTTCATCAGCCGTGCTCAATCCGCTGCTGGACGAACACCTCCGCTGGCCTAAATTTCGATTTAAAGCTTTCGTGACTGCAGGGATTTATCTTCTTGGTTCTTTCGGTAAAGTCAAGTAGAAGGGAAATAATAAAATAATAACACATAAAAATAATAAAATTATTCTCACGACGTTTCGGCCACAACGTAAGCAGCCGTTGTGGCTGAAACGTCGTGAGAATTATTTTATTATGTTTAAGAACCAAGAAGATGGACCCCCGCTAGCCATAGCCGCCACAGCCTCTCGCGATTCTGCGTTGCGGTAATCCAGCGAGCACCAAGGTGGTACTCATTTTACAGCCCCCCGCAGGCAGATGATGATGGGCTGAGTTGACCACCCCCAACCAGGGGGATGTGAACTCGCAACCTTCCGATTGCGAGCCGATCGCTCTTCGGCCGAGCCGCCTGTCCGGCTGGTTCACGTACACCTCGATCGCTGATTTTAAACCAAGTCAAAAATCAGAATCGGAATATTTATTTACACTTGAGGAATTGCATGAGCTATAACGCTCTTTCACAGATGTCCAGTATTTTTTTAATTTTGCCAGGTAAGGCTCACTGAGCTATGAAGCGATTTTTCATAAGCAACCTGGCCACAAATGATAGCTCAACGAAGCGGCTTATTACTTATACAATTTTAGCAGCCAAATTATTTAACCTTGTGTTTCTAAATGTGGAGGAAGAAACTGTCAGACCCGGAGAAAAATCCATGCGACCACGTGGAGAGAGACACGCAAACTCCAAATACACGGGTGTCAGGGCCAGGTTCGAACCCATGACCTCCTGTATACCAGGCAAGATAATTAACATCTCAGGGGCGGGTCAGAACAACAATAACAAAAACTCGACAGGAGCGCAAAGTAAAGGAATGTTAAACAAATAACAAAAAAATATACAAAGAAAACTAAATATACGTGTTGCATTACCAGGTAAAGCCCACTGAGACGTATTAATGTCTTTCAGAAGCGACCTGGCTGTCACGAACGATAGCGCTGGGAGTCGGATCTTGCCGGGCTGCCGAGCGCGACGGCGAGCAAACGAGCCGCGGTGGCATCACGGGGACTCTTGGGAGCCGTCACCGAGCGGAGCGCCGAGCAGAGCACCGCTCGTTCAACCCAGCAGAGAAGGGCATCGCGCTCCGATCGCGACGCTGGTCATTACAACCAGCTTCATCAGGCGATTAGCCAGAATTAGGTCGCAAAAACCCAAGTATTAAACTGATCTAGGATCCGGTCGGCCAGTGCGCTCCCACCGCCCCCTGCGCGGCACGGGGCACAGCTGCCCCCCCCCCCCCCCCAACGATTCTCTGCCCGCCACCGCACGGCTCCCCGGTGCACCGGACCCCTCCTCACCGGCCAGGAGCCGGGGCCTCGTGCGCGGCGTCTGCATGGCCTGGCGCGCGTGCGGGAGCATGTGGTAGCGCTTGGCTTCGTTGACGAGGTCCCTGCACGCCTCCGAGCCCTTCACCATCTCGTCGTTGTCCACCACGTTGAGGAGGTACGTCGGCTGGATGAAGGGCAGCCTCACGGCCGCCAGGACCTCGGCCGCAAACTGCAGGGGGTGGGGGGGGGGGGGGCGCACAGGTGGTGTGGGGATCACAATTGTTACCATCGGACCACGGTCGTTATCATCGTCCAGGCTCGTTCCGCTGCTGGATCGAGGCCTCCGCAAGCAGTGGCCACCAATTCCCACGCGAGCCGCCCTGCTTTCCTGAGAGGCTCGGGACCGCGTGTCTGTCGTGGTGTTACTTTGGGGGAGCCCGCAATGCGCGTAGCATCAGGCCCTCCAGCTGACAGCTGGGGGGAGGCTTAATTGGTAATTACGCGGAGGAGGCGACGCTTCATTAATTCGCCGGCGCAGGCGACGTCGTTCCGAGGATGGTTACCCCTGGGATGCCGCGCGTGCACCCTGCTCCAAGTTCTTCGTGCGTGGCAGCCAGAGCAGGTGTCTAACTAACCGCTCGCTGCGACGCGAGCCGGGGGGGGGGGAATGTGGCTGTCGTTTGGCGCAGATCCGAGATGTATAATTAATTTCGCGGAAGCTGTTAGTCGTTCGTGTAACGCCATGGCGCCCTGAAATAAATGTCGGCTTCTCGCTCCGTGAACAATCGGCGCACGTTTGTTGTTCGTCACGTCTGTTGTTCGTCACGTTTGTTCGTCACCTGGCAACTTTATTGGCTCTGTCGGGTGGAGGAGGGTTTGCGACGCACGTTGTACTTACGGCGATCCGATTTCAAGATCAATTATGAATCAACAAATTGATCGTGAAAGCCTCCTACATATGGGAGGCCACATTTAACCCTTTCCCATTCCAGTTTTTCTACCGAATCTGTTCCGATGACGTACACGAATGAGGTACACGTACTTCAATATAGTTAGTTTATCGGTACAGAGGCTCCCACAAGGCCATGCGGGAGGGCGTGTGGTACAGTTTGGCGCCAGCTATCGTAGAGTGCGGTGGCGTCGCTACAGTTCTCTGCGGTGAGTACAACGTCTTTAAAAACAGCGGCACTATGCCTCTCTAAATCAAATGAACACTAACCGCTTGCGCGTTCTGAGATTCGGTGAACGGGACACCCACCTTGCAAACTTGCAGACGTCTCGAACAGGAAATGGTTAAGAATAGCGATGACAATCCCCACTGAGTAAGCATTACGTGGCCTAACCCAAAGCAAGTGGCACTCGCGACTCAACCGCCTCCGTCACTGTGCCGCTCACCTGCATGCGCTCGCCGGGCTCCCTGCGGATCCAGCGCTGCGCCGCCTCGTAGACGCCCTCCTCGGCGCCGGCGTTGAGGCTGTCGCCCGACAGGTAAGCCACCAGCTCGTCCTTGCCCAGGTGCAGGAACTCCTCCTGGGCGCTCACCGCCGCGAAGTGGTGCAGCGCGAAGGTGCGCGCACGGCCCGCCAGCTCGGGGCACCCCATGGCCTCCGCCATGGCCTGCAGGCCGAGGCAGTTGGCGGCCGACAGCTGCTTCTCTGCGGCGGCGAGAGAGAAGCGGCCGCTCGTGACAAAACAACGGCAACGTGGGTTCGCCCGCCTCTTTCCTGTTTGTTTTTCGTTACTCGGAGACCGTTGGAATTTTGAGAACACCTCGAAAGAATTGTACGAGCGTCGTGAGTTGCGTTCGTTAAGCAATTGTGTAATTGCGTGTCGAAACTGGGGACCCGCAGCGTGTGAGGGTAGGGTCCTCTCGCATCCTGTAAGATCGGCACTTTCACCGCTGTTGAATCGAGCGTGCCGCGTGTCAGAAACCGGTCCAGAGCTCGCTTTGTCTGCCGTTGAAAGGATGCGTTCCCAGAAGTCTGCGTGGCCGATGATGTTTTTTGGAAGAAATACTTTTCAACGTGAATAGCGGTCTAAAACTGAAACTTTCTCCGAACATAAAAAGTCCCTGCTTTGTGTAAAACTATTTTTTTTAAAAATACCCTACTCGAGACAATGCTTTCATGGATACTATTTCCCTCTTCCGGCATTGTGAGAAAATCTTCATTCCATCACATGTCCCTTTCCACAATATACTCGACAAAAAAAAATAACACAATGCCACGATGTTTTTGGTCTGCCATTGGTGACCAGGACAAAAACCATGATTTCACTCCACTTGAGAAAGCCCGGCTTTAATCACAGGCAGCTAAAACCCTCCCAGATTCAAACCCAGGATCTGCGCTCTGACCCCGAAGCCACCCGGGCCGATCCAACTCAATCCTCCCGAAGCAAAGAACACCGGACAATCTCTGCGCGTGTGCGCACGATCAATCCCATTGCACGTGCGCAATCAAAATCAGCGGCTCCGCTGCCCCGCGTCACCGCCCCACAACCACGCCCGCCCCCCCCCCCGTACCCAGGAAAGCGCTGCAGACCCTGCAGAAGGTGCCGAACTGCAGCTTGCTGGCGGCCTCCAGCAGGGCGCGTGCGTTGACGGCGTTGATGAGCAGCGAGCCGGTGTACACGAACTCCAGCAGCAGCTCCAGCGCCTCCGCCTCCAGCCCGGGCACCTCCAGCATCAGGGGCTCCCCGGGGGTCGCGGCGCGCACGGCGCCGTCCGTCGCCGCCGCCGTCTCCCCGTCCGCGCCGTCGCCCGCCCCGTCCTCCGCAGCCGCAGCCGCAGCCGCTCTGCTCGCTTTCTCCCGCTCCTCCGTGGCGCTGTCGCACAAACGGGGGATGTGAGACGTCGCCGCCGCCGTCGTCGCCGCCCGGTCGGTTCGTCGGACGGTGGAAGCGGTTGGCGGCCCGGCGCGCCGAGATGGAGACGCGTCCTCTGCCCCGCCCGCTTCGCAAACTCACCAGCCGTGGCCGGGAGTCAAACTCTGAGGTTTAGTGCAGATGTGTGGCAACCGCTGCGCCACCAATCTCTCTGAAGAAAAACACGGGTTTGTTTTTGGCTGGGGTGGGGGGGGGATGTCACTTTGACCCTTTGACCTTGAGCCCGGGTGGAGCAGCGGCTAGCGCACCGTGCTCCAAACGTCGCGGGCTGGATTTGACTGCCGGCCACGGCTAACATCTGAGATGGTCCTGCACTCTTCCCGCTTCACCAACCCCCGTGTTGGCCAGTGTGTTGAAGTATGATCAAGCGTGTCCCCCCGCCCCCCCATGACTGACACAGCAGTGGCAGGCCTTTATGCAGCATTGAAGTGACGAAGAGCTGTAAATGGTAGATAACGGTCGGCGATTAAGAAATGTTTCAAGTCACCCGCAAGTGCGAAAAATATCAACTCTCAATGATGGTCCACACTTTAAATGCATTCCCAGTAAACGTGGTACGTTGAGCCAACGTCCGACCCACGGTTCATAACCACGAGCCAAAGTGGGCCCGAGGTAGCATGTTTACTGGGTTTCTGGCCTGAGCGGGGGTCTATGTTGAACTAAGCACGGGGGCATGACGTTGACTTGTGTAGCAGCGACACGTCAAGTGTTTACAGAGCAAAGCATCCCAGTCCAATGTTCGCGCCTGAAAATGAAGACAGCTTTTGTTCCGTTTAACGACGACGACGGCGACAAAACTTGCGCAGAGCGGCCCGCAATACCTGGATGTGAAAACGACTGCAGTACGGGAAAAAACGTGGTTACATTTGTGTGTTGAATAAGTGGAGGATTTTTTTTTTTTGCTCAACTCCAAAAAAGCATAATTTTTTTAATTCAATTACATTAAATACGCCCGCGTATTTCGCTCAAGCGAGCCTTCTCTTCCGGCGTCAACTCAAAAAAATTCCAAAACATCCATAGACTCTTCACACGAGTCACTCACAGAGTGGCTTGACTGTACGTGCGCACGCCGGACACAAGGTGGGCCTGCGTAAGGCCCGCCCGCCCACCCGCATCTTTGTGCGTTTCACGTCTCCTCTCTCTCTCCCTCCCTCTCTCTCCTCCGTCTCTCCCTTTACTCTACGGGTCGGCGATTTTGACGGATGTTGGGCCCCTTGACGGACAAAGCTAACGAAGCCATCGGCCTGCGCCCAGAAGGCCGGTCCCTGTCCTCCCGAGACGCGGGGAGCTCTGTGGAAGGCCGCTCTTGTAGCGTCCGCCGAGATTGGGGGGTGGCGAGGAGGCATGCGCAGAGTGGACGCACGCCAAACCTGCCCGCCTGCCTGCCCCTGAGCTGCTCGTTATAAATGATCGATGCTTTGGATGAAGGAGGGGGGAGGGTAGGAGGGGGGGGTTCTCGTCCTCAGGACTATTCGCACGAGTGAGAATGACTGCCTGGGGTGATTGCGCCAGCGTGATGGGAGAAAAATATAATTGTACATATATATAAAATGTACCCTTTTATTTACCGGGGTAAAGCCCAGTTGGGATATTGGCTCTGTTTCAGAGGAGACCTGGCCACACTTGGCGATGGCTCATCGAAGTGGCTTATCACGTGGAAATTCATCATCATATTTCACACGTGGGAATTCATAGCAGCAGCCAAATCGTCTGAAAGCGCGTTGATTCTAAATGTGGAGGGGGGGGGGGAGGAGGAGAAAGTGGAGGAACCCTGAGAACAATCCGCGCGGCCATCGCGGGGAGAGAAAGAGAGAACGCGTGGGCTCCAAATATACAACAGGCATCGTCAAGATCTGGGATCGAAGCCATGACCTTCTGTGTAGCAGGAGAGGGAGGTAACATTTCCTTGCTACCGTGAAGCCCCATAAATGATGACATTTTTTAAAATCCCAGTGCGCCTCAGAGACAAACAGGTTTTTGTGGGGCTGGGGGGGTGCGGAGGGTTGGAAAATTTCACGTTGGACCCTTTCGGCCTGTCGATCGATCCCAGGTCGTGAGGTCGTGAGTTTGCGCTTCAAGAAACACGGTGAGAGATGTCATGCACGGGCAGTTATTTTCGTTGTGAGAGCAGAGAAACGATCGCCGGTCGTGTTCATTCCTCCCTGCAAGTAAAAGTCAAGCACGCGTTCCAAATGAACCCTTTCCCGTTCAGAGACGTCTGCAAGTCGCACGGTAGGGCGGTCCCGTTCACAGCCGAATTTTGGAAGGCTCAAGCAGCTCAGTGTAAATTTGATTTAGAGAGGAGTAGCGTGGCTGTTTTTAAAGACATTGTACTCACCGCAGAGAACCGTAGCGACACGACCGCACTCTACGATAGCCGGCGCCAAACTGTGCCACACGCCCTCCCGCATGGCCTTGTCGGAGCCTCGGTACCGATAAACTTATTTTATTAAAGTTTTTCTTCCGGAAGCGGAAGGAAAACGTAATGACGTAGGCGTACGTCGTCGAACGGGACAGAGCGCCAGCGCCGATCGATCCCAGAGTGTGCGCGTGCACGGAACGCGCGGGGGATTTACCGTCACTTGGCGGCCGCTCCCGCGCACGAAATCCCGTTACAAAAGAGGGGCGAGCACCGGAGCCGAAGACGTCTTATCGGTGGTCGCCTCCCCTGCACAAGGGGTTCGGTCCCGGCTGAAGAGCGGCTCGAGTGATTTTGTTCTGGGGGAGGGGGGGGGTGCAGCGATCACCCCCCCCCCCCCCCAATGCTACCGCACCTTGCATTGGCACAGGCGCGTTGCCCGCACGTGCTTGAGAGAAGAGGCCCACCCCCCCACCCCCTTAGGACACACACACACAAAAACAAAGATCTCCCGTGTTGTAGCCTTAACAGACTGTAGGGGCAAGTGCTGTTAGCGAGCACCTATGAAGGCCGGCACGGCACGCGAGGGGCCAAACAACACCACGCTTGGCCGCCTTTGTCTCCCCAGTGGCGATGTTTACACACCCCACCAGGTACTCATTTGAGGCTGAGTCTACCTAGGGGAGGCCCAGGACCGGTTCAGATAATCGTCACTGGTGTTGGCCAGTGAGCGGGAAATCGAACTCGGGTCGCTAAGTTCGTAGCGCAGCGCGCTAACCGCTACACTACAGACACACGCAAACACGTGTCGTGCATGCGCCAAGATCAAAGATTTCCCGTTTCACCGTCTATACTCTGCAGGGGGCAAAAGTTGTTTGCGAGCGCCTACCAAAGGCAGGCGTAGGCCACGCGAAGGGGGTGGTGGGTGGAACAACACCACGCCCAGGCCGCCTTTGTCTCCCTAATGCTGATGAATACACAACGTAACCAGGTACTGAGGAAGGTTCACACACGCACATTCAAATGCACGGCACAGAGACAATATAGCTTTCAAAGCGGATGAGTGGTGGACTTGTGAGAGCCTGCCTCTGAAATGATTTCCAATATTACCAGCACCGGTCGGTCGTCTGATTGCCACACCCATCGCCTGGTTCTGTAAAGTCTCCCCCAAGCGCCGTGACCCACAGGTCTCTAACAATGTCTGTCACCGGCCGCTCACACAAACGGTGACAAAATTCATTCAGGTGAGAGGCCCCGCTGAGCTGCTTACGTAGCTATCTTTCAGAAGCGACCTTGGGCATCACAAATGGTAGCTTAACGCCAGTGGCTCATCATCATCATCATCACGTGGAAATGTATAGCAGCAGCCAAATACGTTGATTCTTAATGTGGAGGGAAAACCCGGAGGACCCGGAGAAAAATCCACGCGACCATGGGAAGAGAGAGACACGGAGACTCCAAATATACAGCAGGCGTCGACGGCCTCCTGCATACCAGGCGACGGAGTTAACATCTCACTGCCGCGTATCTGCGAAGTGACGCGCGCACAGCTCCTGGTCTGCTGGCGTGAACGACAAAGAGATTTTCTGCCACCGTGAGCATCAACGCCCACGCCAGCGCTGCACTTATGTGTACAGCCCCCCCACCGTCCTCCCCCCACTATCCCACCCACCCACCACCAATCTGACCTAACCAGCGTGAAATATGGTTAAAGAAACGTCCAGCAGTGGATTGAAAAAGGGGGCTGTAAATTACTGTTGTTGTTGTTATTAACGATATAAAAACTCGTGATGACGTCAGAGCCCGTTGCGACAACCGAAAATGTTGTTTATGCATTTTTATTGGTTTTAACCCATAAAAAAGTTACTGCGTTTGTGTTTCCGTGCATCCTGCAATTATTTATTCGTTGGTTGGGAGCCTCCGGGATGTTCTGAAGTCACAATAAAATAATTGCAGACTGCGCGGAAACAAACGCAGTAATTTTTTTATGGGTGAAAACCAATAAAAATGCATAAACAACATTTTCGCTTGTCCCATTGGGCTCTGACGTCGTCACGAGTGGTGGAAATTCCACGTTACCATGGCGGGAGAAGAGTCTCTTGACTCTCCGACAAAGTCGCACTCGTTTAATTGACCCCGGAGGGATGACGGCCCGAATCAACCGCCAAGCAGGATTTGAAATCGCGGCCTTCCGATCACGAGCCGCTCGCTAGACCACGCTGAGGTTACTGGCTAGTTATTAACGCAGCAGTCACGCAGCCAGTGAGGGCCCCACGGTGGCAAGATGTTAGCTCCCTCGCCTGGTATGCAGGAGGTCGTGGGTTCAATCCCGACTCTTGACACCTGCTGTATATATGGGAATCTGAATGTGATCTCTCTCCATGGTCGCGTGGACGTTTCTCCGCGTCCTCCAGGTTTTCCCTCCACATTTAGAATCAACGTCACGTGCTTTGAGTTATTTGGGCTGCTCTACATTTTCACACGACGACGAGCCACTTCGTTGAGCTCTCAATTATAGACCAGGTTGCTTTGCAAAAAAAAAAAAACGAGCTTATACAGCTCAAGTGGGACTTTACCTGGT